ATCACCCTATACCAAGATTAACTCAAAATGGATCAAGGATCTTAATATCAGACCCCAAACTCTAAAGTTGATACAGGAAAGAGTAGGAAATACTCTGGAGTTAGTAGGTATAGGTAAGAACTTTCTCAATGAAACCCCAGCAGCACAGCAACTAAGAGATAGCATAGATAAATGGGACCTCATAAAGCTAAAAAGCTTCTGTTCATCAAAAGAAATGGTCTCTAAACTGAAGAGAACCCCCACAGAGTGGGAGAAAATATTTGCCAACTATACATCAGACAAAGGACTGATAACCAGAATATATAGGGAACTTAAAAAACTAAATTCTCCAAAACTAATGAACCAATAAAGAAATGGGCAAGTGAACTAAACAGAACTTTCTCAAAAGAAGAAATTCAAATGGCCAGAAAACACATGAAAAAATGCTCACCATCTCTAGCAATAAAGGAAATGCAAATTAAAACCACGCTAAGATTCCACCTCACCCCTGTTAGAATAGCCATCATCAGCAACACCACCAACAACAGGTGTTGGTGAGGATGCGGGAAAAAGGAACCCTCTTACACTGTTGGTGGGAATGTAGACTAGTACAACCACTCTGGAAAAAAATTTGGAGGCTACTTAAAAAGCTGGACATCGATCTACCATTTGATCCAGCAATACCACTCTTGGGGATATACCCAAAAGACTGTGACACAGGTTACTCCAGAGGCACCTGCACCCATGTTTATTGCGGCACTATTCACAATAGCCAAGTTATGGAAACAGCCAAGATGCCCCACACTGACGAATGGATTAAGAAAATGTGGTATCTATACACAATGGAATTTTATGCAGCCATGAAGAAGAACGAAATGTTATCATTCGCTGGTAAATGGATGGAATTGGAGAACATCATTCTGAGTGAGGTTAGCCTGGCCCAAAAGACCAAAAATCGTATGTTCTCCCTCATATGTGGACATTAGATCAAGGGCAAACACAACAAGGGGATTGGACTTTGAGCACATGATAAAAGCGAGAGCACACAAGGGAGGGGTGAGGATAGGTAAGACACCTAAAAAATTAGCTAACATTTGTTGCCCTTAACACAGAGAAACTAAAGCAGATACCTTAAAAGCAACTGAGGCCAATAGGAAAAGGGGACCAGGAACTAGAGAAAAGGTTAGATCAAAAAGAATTAACCTAGAAGGTAACACCCACGCACAGGAAATCAATGTGAGTCAATGCCCTGTATAGCTATCCTTATCTCAACCAGCAAAAATTCTTGTTCCTTCCTATTATTGCTTATACTCTCTCTACAACAAGATTAGAAATAAGGGCAAAATAGTTTCTGCTGGGTATTGGGGGGAGGAGAGGGAGGGGGCGGAGTGGGTGGTAAGGGAGGGGGTGTGGGCAGTGGGGAGAAATGAACCAAGCCTTGTATGCACATATGAATAATAAAAGAAAAATGAAAAAAAAAAAAAAATAAGGGCAAAATAGTTTCTGCTGGGTATTGACCTGGGGGGTGGGGCAGGGGGGGAGAAATGAACCAAGCCTTGTATGCACATATGAATAATAAAAGAAAAAGGAAAAAAAAAAAGTTTGGTGTGCACTGCTGGCAGTGGACTGTACCATCTGCAGGGGAGTTTTTCTGTCTAGTGTAGACTTTAGGGCAATTGTTTTTATGTTACCTAAGCATGCGTAGAGTTTCCACACTTGTCTCCTAGTCATTAATGCCCATCTGGTGATCTTGTAACTGTATCTGAAAGAAAAACACTGTGCCTTTGCCTCTCCTGTGTAGTGTATGCTGGAGAGAAGGTGGACTTTAACCGGCCAGCCTAAGCTCAGAAGTATTAGCATTTTACACACTGCTGGTTCAGTAGTGCGGCAAGAGTGACAGTAGTGATGCTGAAGAGTGAGAAAATGTCAGATGCCACAGGGTAGTTCAAATGCCAGTAGACTATGCCAAGCTCCCACCTCCTAAATACTAGACAGGTCTTTTGGCTAAATATTTCTCAGACAGTAGCTTTTTTGCAGTTTCATTGAAACCATGGTTGAGTTGTCAGTGTAGCAAACAGTATTTGCCAAAGGAAAATCCAACTCATTTTTTGTTATAGTCAGTTATATTAAATGCCAAATGGTTGTTTGAAAGTTCCCTTTGGCTTTTTAACAAAGTGGGCTATTCAGTTTGCTTTAAGTAGCCTTTACTATGTCTTAGAAATGAAATGTGAGGTGTTTGTTTGTTTGTTTGTTTTTTGTTTTTAATTGCTATGGTTCTGTTCTGACAGCAAACAGTTCAGTAAGCTTAAAGCTTCACCTTAGACCTTAAAGCAGTCACTGGAGCTTCTAACTACCACACAAAGAATACGTGTAAAACATAACAGGTCAGTTAGGACAGGGGTATGAAATGACAAAGACTGAAGTTATATTGCTATTGTTTGGTTTTATGGACTTGAAAATATTCATTCTGCCATCAGTCATCCTAACACTTCATCCATGAGTATGCTAACATTGCTTAAAAAGTAGAATACTACATGATGGAAGTTAATATTAAACTGGTAGTTCATCTTTTTGAACTTCAGAGCAGAGGTCAAGAAACTTTGTAAAGAACCAAACAGTAAATATTTTAGGTTTGCAGTTACATGGTTTCTATTACAATTTCTCTTCTCTTCTGATGAATACAATACATAAATTAAGGAGTATGGCTGTATTCCAGCAAAACTTTAAAATAGATGGCAGGCCAGTTTGGCCCTCAGATCTTAGTTTGCCAACCCTTTTCTAGAGAATTTAGTGTCTATATGTTTTTTTAAAGGAAATGCTAGTATTGCTAATTATCTTTTAACATTTTTTCTTCCCTTTTAAATTATGTTATTTGAAAACAGTGACCACATCTGTTACTTCCTTGTCTTTCCTATACCATTTAGAACAATGCCTTATACGAGGCACAATAAACATATCTTCCTAGTTTAGAAATTGTTTTGCAGTAGGTTTCTTGGCATGTTCTCACAACAGCCTCAGAAAAAGGCGGATAGGGTAGATGTGTTCGCCCATTTTATAGGCCTGTGGCTGAAGCTTGAAAGGTTAAGTGAATTTCTCTAGTTTATATTGTCTAGTAAATGGCAGAGCAAATGTTTGGATCTGCTTTCTGTTGTAGCAGTAGACTGTGATTTTTAACTTTTAAAACTAGAAGGTGTTTATCTTTTTATTCTTCCTGTCATGTAATCTTATTTTTTCTGTTGAGTTTTAAATATTCAGATTAAGGTTTAGCATTCAGATTTCCCTAATCTTTTAGCATAGTTCTGTTCTCTGTTCTCGGGAGACAGATCTGAGCTTCGCAGGATTAAAAAGATTTTTTTTTTTTGATTCAGGGTCTCGCTATGTAGTGCAGGTTGATCTTGACTCACAATGCTCCTACCTCAGCTTCCCAAATGCTGGGATAACAAATGTATGCAACCATGCTTGAAGTGGGTCTACTTTTTAAAAACTTACAGACAGATACTTTCATTTTCCCAGAGAAGAACCTAGTCATTCATTTTTTTTGTATTGAGCCGTGAGAATATTAGTCTATAAACCTTTTGCTTCAGCTATATTGAACTTACATGTGCTATGTTCTCTTTGCTGAAAATGCTTTTCTCTTACTGTATATGTGGATTTTATCTTCTAAAACTCTGCCAGTGGTGGCTATACAGATGTAGACATAAGTAAAAATTCATCAAGCAGCATAATTTTTTATTTCTACACTTTATTTAAAATAAAATTATACCTTCACTTTTAGTACTTAGTATGGAAAAAGCTCAAGTTCTACCTCTTCTCCTAAAGCTTCTCCTGCCTTGCTAGCCACTGCTTTTTCTCTCTTCAAAAATAGACTTAGAATAACCAATATCATCTAGTTGGGATTATAATGGTGGGGTAAAAACTGACAGGATCTGAATCTCAGCATTTCCACCTCACTCTTCTGTGCCTCTGTTTTCTCACCTCTAAAATAGAGGTATTTAGAATTTCTATGTGATAGGATTATGTGGGTTAGATGGTAACACATAGAAAGCACTTGGGATGGTATCTGGTATGTAATGAATATTCAAACATAAGTTGGTATTATTATCATTTTAAAATCTGAACCTTTTTCTTAGTTGCTTTGTACACTGCCTCTGCCTGGCTGATAATAACTTGAGATAATTGTCTGTGATGACATTTGCATGACTAATATTAGGCATAGTGTCCCACTGGGTATGTTGATGCCCTGCATTTTGGTTTTCTGTCTAAGTCTTATTCCATAATTTATCTATCTGTATGCATTTTATAAATGGATAGTGTGCCGAAATCTCAAGGAAAGTGGCAATTAGTGCCTTGTTACCTATCATTTTTTATTTCATATAAAGAATGATGTGTAGAAGTTGGGAGACATAGATTTTTGTTCCAGGTTATTCTCTTTTCTTTTTCTTTTCCCTGTTCCTTTCCTTCCTCTCTTCCTCCCTCTCCCTCCCTCCCTTCTCCCTCCCTCCCCTCCCTTCCTCCCCCTTCTTCCTCCCTCCCTTCCTCCCCCCTCTTCCTCTCTTCCTCATTCCTTCCCTCCCTCCCTCAATCCCTTCTTCCCTCCCTCTCTTCCTCCCAAAATGTTCTTTTTTGAGACAGAAGATCCTTATGTAGCCTAGGTTGGCCTCAAACTCATATCCACCTGTCTCAGCTCCTGAGTACTGGGATTATTTATAGGTGTGTGCCACCAGGCCTGGCTAGTCCCAGTTTTGCCATTGATTAGTTTTATGTCATTGGGGGAATTCAGCCTATATGTCTTTATTTATAAAATGGCAAGCTTTCCTCTTTGGGTCAAGTGTGTGTGTGTGTGTGTGTGTGTGTGTATGATACCCAAATATGTAAATATACACATATAAATAAATATGTCTATGTGTATATGAGAAGATACCTAGTTACCCAGTGCAATGATTCCTATAAAGTAATTATAAGTGATTTCCTTGCTATAACTGATTGCCTTATCTTAAAATTTTTGCTCTTTCTGTTTTTAGCTTCGGGCTCAGAATCAGGTCTTAAAAAAAGGTGTTGTGGATGAGCAAGCAAATTCTGCTGCTTTAAAGGTATGTAAAAGGGTATTTGTGTTATGAAGTTTGTTAGTGGTCAGTGATGCTCAAAACAAGGAATTCATCTGGTTTTCAGGTTCAAGTCCCAGCTCTGACACTGATTGACTAGAGACAGGAGATGGGGATGGTAGTGCTTAGGTTTTGTGTTCAGCTTTCCTACTAGCTAGGTATGAATGTTACATATTTTGATTTCCTCTATCTAATGCATTTCTTCTATACTTCAAGGCCTTTATTTAGCATAATGCCTCTGGGTTAATGGAGCTTGTTGTCTGTAGTCTGTAGATGCCACTCCGAGGAGGCTGTGTCATGTTCATTTTGTATCCCTACCACTCAGCAGATGGGCCCTTACAAATGGATTTGAATATGGGAATCATTTAGTCCATTAACATTACCTTTAGTTGTGCTATTTAGTAGTAATAACTGTGTTAATCAGAGCACCATTTGAGTAATACATTTTACTATCAGCACGTTTGTTAATTAAGAGGAGATTTATGATAGGAGATGAAGGAATTTGTTTCTCCTCCATTCTAGTAGGCATGTAATAAATATTGCTTAGTAGTCTTTTTTAAGTAGATAAATTAAATCTGGGATATAGATTCCTTCTTGGCCAAGTTTCTGATAAATGTACTGTCTCTCTCACTCTCACTTTCCTTTCCTTCTCTAGTTTGTTAGACAGATGGGATTAGGATTCCTTTTACTAGGGTCTCTTTTTGGAGTAGCCCTCAACCAGTGGTATATCCTGGATAGCTCCACTCAGGTAGCTATAACACAGACATACGTCCTTTCTCTTAGCCAGTGCTGGATGATACATTAGAGAAATCTATGTCTGAGAGTACGTCTACCTCAGGTTCCAGTAGTACATCTCACCGCTGAGATGGCTCAGAACACCCCATCTGTACTCCAAAGCTTTCTGCACCCAAGCCAAGATTATAGGAAGAAGTTTTGTAGTCAGGATTTATTAGTCATGTCATTGTTCCACTGAAATCATTGAGGAAGTGATCATTATCTCTCCTGATAATGGTTAAAACCTACTACTGGGAAAAGTATTCTTACTTACAAGTTAATAGTAGCCTGCTCTCACATATGACACTGTCCTGTTGCTGGTTGTGTTTGATTAGCTCTGTAATGGTAACAATGTGCAGACAGTCATGGCAGTGGTGATGATGACGGGCTGGTCCCAGGCATTGTGTGCCAGGCATTATGCTAAGTACATTATCTTATTAAATGTTCACAACAACTGTATGGGGTTGATAACATTATCATCCCCACTGCAGACCCTGGAGTTGAGAGTGAAATTAGGATAGAGAGCTTCTGAAATTAATGATTGGTTAGTGGAATTATAGCATTGTTCAACTTGTGGTACCATAATAATGTAAAGAAATTACCTTTTGTTTCATTATTCATTACAGGGAGCATTGTAATTACAGTTTGCCAGTTCTCTAGGTGAGAATGTTAGGATATCCTGTTACCATAGGCTTTTGATTTTGGGGGTCTCCTTCAGTGAATTGCCAGGGAGTCAATGTTCATTGATTTGACTTTCTTCTTTAATTTGAGGTATATGATAATTTAGACATGAGCTGGGCCTAAGTTTACCTTTGAGCTTTAAGTAAAAATTAAGAAGTTACTAAATAAACAATAGAAAGGAAAAAATGTTTTTCTAGTTAATGGGAGCATATTGTTTTATTCCACTAGCTTTGTGTTCAGCATGCAAATAATGTCAGTAGATTAGACACCAGCCTTGGTTTTTAGGTTGCTGTCTTGGTAGTTAACCATCTGCCTAGTAAAATCTGACCTCTTAGCTTCACAACTGTTTGTTTTGGTGAAAGTAATAAAAGTGTTTTTTTAAGCATACAGTAGTAATGTGGCCATCTGCATTTGATTATCAATGAATGCAAAGTTACTAGGACATCCTAGTAAAATATAGTTAGAATAACATTTTTAAAACATTGGGTGAAATTAAATTTCTCTTTAACTTCCTGTTTTCTTACCCCATTATGGTATTAAGAGTACAAAATAGCAGAAAGTGTACTGTTCAGATTTTAGATTTTATTTCTGTTTTCACTTAGCTTTAAAATGAATTGATGTAGAGCAACATCTGAAAATAGTTTTTGTGTTATAGTAATATTGTTTTTTTATCTTTGAAATATAGTTAAAAGTAAAAATGTGTTGAAAAAGACTTCATTTTGGGCTAGGGATGTAGCTCAGTGGTAGAGCATTTCGTAGCAGTCATGAAGCCCTCAGGTGGGAGGGGGAGGGACAACCTCATTTTTCTTTAAGGGTCTAGCAAAGATTGATTAGTAAAGCAGAATGAAATAGAAATAAAAGGCAAAAGAGTGACACCCTCTGACTTGCACAGAATGGGAGCTAGGGGCTCCTTGACTGATTTAAATTTGAGGAGGATTAATAGAACAAAAAAGAATATGAATGTATTTCCTATCAGTCTTGCTCATTGAAGCGTGTGAACTTCTTTTAAAAAAAAATTCAGTTTTATAAATTTGCCCAGGTTTTGTGTCTGCTCACTGTTACAAATTCAACAGCATACAGTTATGAGTACTTTAAGTTGCTAATGGCCTGCTGCTTCAGTATGTTTTCTCTCTTCATTTTATTTTAAAATTTACTTGGTTTGGCCAAAAGATGATTTTGTCAGCAAAACAGAGCTAAAAACATGAGAATTGAAATGATACACACACAACTTTAACTCATTAAAGCAAGGTTTTGATTGTGTTTTGGTGAGGCAAAGATCATTTTTTTTTCATTATTTGAATACCTGAATGTTAAACCGTGAAGAACAGTCTGTTTTCACTTTGATATAGGAACAACTGAAAATGAAGGATCAGTCACTGAGGAAACTACAACAGGAAATGGACAGTTTGACATTTCGAAATCTGCAGCTTGCCAAGAGGGTAGAACTACTTCAAGATGAGCTAGCACTAAGTGAACCCCGAGGCAAGAAAAACAAGGTAGGTTTGATAAAGGCCTGTTAGTGTGTCCTTGTTAGGAGTTGCAGACACTGTTTTAGCAGAAGAGTCTTTCTGATTCTCTAGTGTTTCATTTTTATATCTGGATATTGGATCAAGAAAGCCAACATTTGCTATTAATATATAGTAAATTTTAGGGGCATTTTCATACAAAAGTAATTTTAAGACATTAGCAGCAAAAATGTACATAGTTCACTTAATGGCTGTGAAAAGACAATAGAATTTCTCGTATTGGTCAAAATTGTCAAGTTTTCTTATACCAAATTGCCATAATTCCAAGATAGGGCAAATAAAATGAGAGAGATTGTTAAAAGTGTAACTACTTATATAATTAATTGAAACACTCACAGATTTTTGACTTAGGTTTGTAAGTTTACAATAGATGTATTTTCTTAGTGCTTATCATTATGAGGACAATTTAGTTTTCTTGTCTTGAGATTTAGAAATAAACTTTGTGCTTTTATTTGGTGAGGAAAGACTGTTACTGCTCTAAGATGCATAATCTGGTGCTTTTTGGGTTTTTTTGGTCTGGCACTTTTGAACCTTCTATGTTGAAGAAGTTAGGGTTTTTTCCAGGGGGGTTGCTAGGAATTAGTGATGGAGGCTCTAAATCTTGTTTGTGTTTGTAGATTGAGGAAGTGATAATAGAATGGGTAGAGGGAAGAAGAAGGCAAACAGTGACTCTGAAGAATCACCATGTGGAGGGAAGAGCTCAGGCTTGAATTCTTTGCCTGCTATTTATAAATCTGTGACTTTGGCAAAATTCTTGACCTTGAAACCTCAGTATTTTTGTCAGTGAAATGGGTATAACACTTTCAGTCTTTTTTAAAAGCATTTTTATTAGCATATAATAGTTGTACAGGGGGTTTTGTTGTGACATTTCCATATATGTGTACAATGTGTCCAGGTTTGGTTCATCCCCTTCTTAAAATGACTTCAACAAGTTTCAGTGAAAACTTTCACTCTTGTGAGGATTAAATGGAATCATGTGAAAGTCCCTAACATACTATGTGGTATGTTAATACCTTTCTGGAACTTAGGCATTTCTTTACATGGAAGGATTCTCTGGGGTGCTGGTGTGCGAGTAAAGGGGGAACAGAGAGGGCAGATGGGCATGTATTTGAGATTCTTGGGAATTATGAAAGACTCCTAGGGAGGAAATGACTATCTAGACTTCAAATACACATCCCAGGCTATTAACACCCCCTCCTATGACTGTTCAGCACAGATATGTGTGTAATACTTGTGAATTGTGAATTAATTTTAATTAAAGTTTCTAAGTTTGGAAGCACCGAGGAACCCAAATGTATCATCAGTAGCATTTCTTGTGTTCCAAACACGATGGATAATTTTTTGTGTTTTGCTTTTTATATAAATGCTCCATTTGCAAAGGACTTTTTAATCACTGATTCATATTGGATCAGTAGGTGACTTCATTTTAAGTCTTCAAAGAGAGAGGATCCAAAACAGGCAGAGAGGGTTGTGACTGATTTCTAAACATAGTTTCCTTTTTGGACTGTCCCTTGAATAGCCTCAGTTTATTTACTACATGAAATAAATGTTCATTATTAGGTCTTTTAAACAGTGCTATTCTCAGTAGAAAAAAGTTAATATTAGTAAAAATAAAGGAAGATATTTTTTTCATAATCTTCATGCTTTTTTTCTTGTGTTTATTTATAGTAGCCTTATTTTATATGGTTTTGGTTTTAAAAAATTTTGGAAATTTATGTGAACTTTTTTATAAACTTATTTTTGTGAATACTGTTATTTAATTTATTGTAATTTCTTTTTTTTATAAGCAAAGATTTAGTATGACAGGATAAAGTGGGGAGAAAAAGGGAGAGACATTTTCTGTTCCCCACACAGGAAATGGGAGTAAAAACTCCAATTTATTATAATTTCTTAAAGGAGGTCAACAACTCACACTCATAGAACTGGTAAAACTCTTTTTTCCAAACCAAAATATCAAATCAAAATGGTATTTCTGAGCATATTTATGCTGCTATGTTTCTGGGTCTGTTCTGTCTTCCAGCAGAACTACTATTGAATTCATCTGCAAAGAATAATGACTGTATCTGTTCTGTTCTCTCTCTCCCAAGCTTTCCTGTCCTTTGCAGTGTTTGCTGTTTCACTTTGTGTCCCATAGGAAAAGTTAATGATGGACTGTGCACCTTTTGCAGGGTTGTTTGAGAATGGTGAACACATAGAAGAGACAAGCTGCTAAGGTGATAGAGAATTTGTGTACCTTAGGATGTCTCTCTAAAGGATAAAAGTTATGTGGATATAACTTATTCTTTCCATCAGAAAAGTGGAGAATCTTCTTCTCACTTGAGTCAAGAGCAGAAGAGTGTCTTTGATGAAGATCTACAAAAGAAGATAGAAGAGAATGAACGGTTGCATATACAGGTGAGAAAAATCTGTTTTTTTATATAAATTAAAAAATGGGTCAGATGATCTGATGGATGGAAAACCAAATGCAAGTAGAGTGCTTTTTGCTTTTCTTCTTCCTTCCTTCCTTTCTTTTTCTTCTTCTTTTTTTAAATTTTTTTCGTGAAACTGGGGTTTGAACTCAGGTCTTCATGTTTGCAAAGCAGGTGCTCTACCAATTAAGTCACACCTGCAGTCCATTTTGTTCCATAGTCTGGCGATGGTAGTCTCACAAACTATTTGCCCAGGCTGATCTCGAGCCACAGTTCTCCCAATCTTAGCCTCCTAAGTAGCTAGGATTACAGGCGTGAACTACCGGTGCCTGGTGTGTTTTGTTTCTGTGTGGTCTTTAATGTCTCCTGTAGTCTTTAAGCACATATGTCATTTGTTATTTCTTAAATCTCACCTATGTCTTGTGAATGTCTGTTTTGAAGTATATGCCTTTGTTCAGAGTCCAACAGAATAGTTTTACAACTTAATACAAAAATATACTAAGTGTAGTTCATTTTACATAGGAAGTGGGATGGATCGTTTAGGGAGGAGCTTGTCAACAAAAAGTTTTTTTTTGCAGTACTGGGGCTTGCACTGAGGGCCTTCACCTTGAGCCACTCCAGCAACCCTATTTTTGTGAAGGGTTTTTCGAGGTAGGGTCTTGAAGAACTATTTGCCCGTCTAGCTTCAAACCTTGATCCTCCTGGTCTCTGCCTCCTGCGTAGTTAGGATTACAGGTGTGAGCCACCAGTGCCTGGCTAAGGTTTGTTTCTTAATTTATGATATGTAGTTGGTTTTTATCCATTAGGCCATAAGGTCTTTGAGGGTGTGGATCAAGTATGTTTTGTGTGCCCATCTTCAGGACAGAGTCTGTCTCACTTAACTGCAGGCACTCACATATACTGAATGTTAAAAAGTCATTGTCTACCATTGAGTATTGCCCCACTGCTATGGGACACCTCAAATCATTGAACATGTCATAAGAGATATAGTTTAGTGTGTCAAACTACACTTCTTGATATATTTGGCAAATGATAGAAAAATAAATACACACCAATTCTTAGTGTTTGAAATTTTTAAAAAGTAAACTTTTGATGTTAGTATATTTCATGTCTAAGTGTTCATAATTCTTAATTAACATTGGACTGTTATTAAGGGAAAGAATTTTGCCTGCTTTAAGAACAGTACTTCAGTTGAAATCTCTTTGTGTCCAAAATTGTTTGAGGTGGACATTCATGAGACTAAGAAGAAGGAGGTGCAGGTTTTGGAATAGGTTCCTGGGCTTAACTCTCATTTCTAACATGTTTAACTGAGACATAGACAAATTACATAACCTTTTCAAACTTCAGTTTCCGCATCTCTAAAGAGAGATAGCAAAAGTTATCCCTCTGTTACACTGTGAGGATTAAATGAGATAATGCGTATTGGGTTTAGCACAGCGGTCATAAGAAGCCATATGGAAGTTGCTCAATGAACAGTCACTGCTGATGGTTTTCTCATTTGTACATATTAGGATTTTGGGAGAAGAGAAAACAATCTTTCCTTTTCAGTTTTTCGAAGCCGATGAGCAGCACAAGCATGTGGAGGCAGAGCTGAGGAGTCGACTGGCTGCTCTGGAGACAGAAGCGGCCCAGCACCAAGCTGTGGTTGATGGCCTGACACGGAAGTACATGGAAACCATTGAGAAACTGCAGAATGACAAGGCTAAGCTAGAAGTAAGCGCCACCATTTATGAGAACATGTTAAAAAAAATTAGTTCAGGTCTTTGGAAGTTGTCCATGTGCCCTATAGAGCACAGAATTAAGACATTCCAGTTAAGGCTGTGGCCCAAGTATCTTCCAAGTGTGCTCCCAGCTGTAGCATGAACTATCTGCTTTTCCTTTCTTTCTGAAATTCAGGTAAAATCTCAGACTCTAGAAAAGGAGGCCAAGGAATGTCGACTTCGAACAGAAGAATGGTATGTGGAAATGTGAATTCCAAGGGGCCCTGAAGTAAGAATCAGAAGACCTGAGTTTTGGTTTTAGCAGCTCCTGTCTTACTTGTCTCACATTTGAGATGAGGAGATGGGAGTAGGTAATCTCCTGGGTATTTTTCCATTCTCTGGGGCCTTCAGCATTCTTGGATAGAGTGACTTAGTGTTCGTTCTCAGCCAGGAGGTGTTTTGGGCTGTCACAGGTAGTGGCCTGGGGCTCTCATACTGAGGACTGGATACTTGCTGCTTCAAACTCCCCTAAAGAGAGGAACCTTTTGATAGTCCTAGGCAGGAAAGCTAATAATCACTGTGCCAACCTTTTTCTAGTACATTTTGAATAAAATTGAAGTTATGTGATCTAATTTAGACATGTTTAAAAATTAAAGTATTGCTTAGCAATGGATAATAAAGTCATACTCCAACATGTTTGTGGTATATAATATATTTTAGGTTTTGCAAAATGCTTTAGATTTTTTTTTTTTAGCAGTACTAGGGTTTGAACTCAGGGCTTCTTGCTTGCTAGGCACGTGCTCTTTCACTTGAGCATGCCTCCATCCTTTTTTAATTTTTAATTATTTTTCAAATAGAGTCTTGAGTTTTTGCCCAGAGCTAGCCTGGACTTCAGTCCTCAGTTTATACCTTCCCTGTAGCTGGGATGACAGGCTTGTGCCACCACATTCAGCTTATTGGTTGAGATGGTAGTCTTACTAAGTTTTTTCCCCTCAGATTGGTCTTGAACCACAATCCTCCCAATCTCTATCTCCCAAATAGCTGGGATTACAGACATGAGCCACCAGGACCAGCCAATATTTTAGATTTTAATACAATCAATCAAGTGAATTTCTCATTTTGATAGAATTACACACATGATGTAGATGTGTGCCTGTGCTCAAAACTGAACCAAAACAGAAATTATTAGCTTTTAAGCCCAAGGGAAAAAACCTCTAATAGAAAAAACTTTTTAATGATACTTGAGTAAGCATTTGTATGTTGTAAAAAGAAAATTTATGATTTCAAAATGACATTGAGATTTCTTTGCACTTGGGGAAATAAAATTAGGGCTGTGTAAGATATTAGAACTGTGATAAATTCTTCCAAGAGTCCAGAAGTCTTAGGGATTTTGGAATGGAGGTATGCTGTTTCTCTTATCTTCGTCTTTTAACAGCTCTGGACAGAGTGTCCCAGATGTCAGACACAGTTCTCTGAAAGCCTGATACCAGCTATTGAGGTAACAAGCAAATGACAGTTTACTGATTGATGATAATGTGTTTTTGTGGGTTTTTTTTCTTTCAGTCAATTACAGTTAAAGAATCTTCATGAAGATTTGTCGGGTAGATTAGAGGAATCCTTATTGATCATCAGTGAAAAAGTACCTTTTAATGATACAAGTAGGTATTGGATACAGTTTTCCATTATTTGGAACTCTGAACCTCTCTGCGGTAGCCAGCTAATTAAAATGATTTCTAATCTCTTTGGCAAAAAAGTAAATTGGCCCAATAGACAGTTGCTTTCTTTTTGTTCTCTTGATTAGCTTTGGCTCTCATATTTCATAGGGAGATTTTAAATGATATGCAACTATTGCAAAACCATTCTCTTGGAAGAAGTCCAAATGCATTTTTCAATTGTATGTAATTATCATATCCCAAGGTAAAAACCAAGCTGCATATAATGTAATTGAATATGTATACAAACAAAGTTGTTCATGGAGGGATGGTTGAGTGGTGGGATGTGTCTTCTCAGCCTGGTATCTACTGCCCTTGGCTAATCCCTAGTGATACTTAGGAAGCTGGCTTGCATAAGCTCTGCTTCCTGTCCATTCTAGAGAATGGACCAGACGGTAACTTACACAGCCATGAGCAACAAAAATGCATTTTCAAAAAAGCTAAAACCATACCTTATGTATGTGATAGATGCCAAATTTGAAACCTTTAGACAAGATTTCAAATTTGAAACCTTTAGACAAGAATTAAGTCAAAACCTCGAAAGCAAAGAAAATATTTTTCCAGGGAAAGACCTAGAAAAAAAAAAAAAAGAAGAAACTGCAGGAAAATAGCAGTTTGATCCAATATTAAAATCACCATAGGCCATTATTGTTATCAAAACCCTAAATTCCCCTTTGAAAATACCAGCTGTTTCTAGCTTCTACATCAGTGTAAATAGCACTAGCATACCTTAATTCCCTGGATTTGAAACGTTGGCTTTTCATTTTCCCTTTAATCTTTGTATCAGTCATTGGGTTCTAATAACTTCGTTTTGAATCTCTAGGATTTATACTTCCTTTTCCAGAACTGGTTGTCACCCTTTTAGGTTCTTACCATGTCACATGTGACTTACTACCTTTAGTTCCAAAATAGTTAGAGATCATTTGCTGAGTGGCTACATGGGTAGGTAGCAGAGGGGCTAAAAAAATGTACCCAGTGCTAAGTTGGATAAATCTCTACCCTTAAGGAATTTATGGTCTAGTGGGGCAGAAATAGAAATAGAAATGCTAGTATAGAAAATGCAAATTAGACTGTACAATCAAAAACCAATTGAGGCTTCAAGGGAAGGAGACTTAACTCTGGTGGGTAACTGAAGTCTTCCCAGAGGATGTGTGCTTTGAACCAGGCCTGAATATGTGAGTGGGTTTTTCTGAGCAGAGAAGAGGGAAAACAAACCAGATAATTGTGTGAAGTATGCTTTGTGAGATGAAAGTTACTACCATGGCCTCAGGAACAAAAAAGTATGACAATAGGCTAGGGTAGGTGAGATTTGGAGGGCAATAACAGATAAGTTCTGAAAGGAGGATGGGACTAAACCCTAGAGTTCTGGGCTAAGGAGTCATTCACAAGGCCGTCAGGTTGTAGGAGAGGTTTCTGAGCCAGGGACTGTCCTAATGCAATTTGTGTATTCACAAGGTTAATCCAGCAACAGAGTGTAGACTACTTTAGAATGGGACCTCCTTTCAGGCCAAGACTTTTATGATGAAAGTCTTGTTGTGCTGACATGGAGCTGGAGCCTGGGTTTTCAGGGAGATAGAGAAGATCTTGTGGAAGGAGGAAGAACAGATTGGTCCTTTTAGGGAAGCAAGGGAGAGGGAGGAGGCAGTGAAGGGGGAAGATGGTGGTGCAATTGACAAAAATAAAAGATGGGTGTGTTAGTTAGCTTTCCATTGCTATGAAAAAATACCTGAGATAATCATCTTAAAAGGTGGAAAGGTTTATGTTAGCTCACAGTGTCAGTCCATGGTTGCTTGGCTCCATTGATTTTGGGTCTGTGGCAAGGCAGAACGTCATGGTGGGAGCATGTGGTAGAATAAAGTTGCTTACTTAATGGCAGCTTGGAGGCAAAGAGAAAGGAAAGGGCTGGAGTCCCAGCATCCCTTTCAAGGGAATGTTCCCAATTACCTAACTTCCTTCCACTAGACCCTATCTCTTAAAGGTTCTTCTTCTTCCCAATAGCATTATAGGCCCAAGCCTTTGACAGATGGGACTTTGTATGTGTGTGGGGGATTTAAGATCCAAACCATAAAAGCAGTCAATTGGCTGGTTTAAGGGAAAGATGTTAGGATTAACTTGGGCTAGATAAGCCCCCATGGAGTGGCAGGAACAAAGGATGCACAGTGAGAAGAGGCCTATGCAGGATCCTTGGTGAGTTCTCCATCTCAGTGATAGGGGAGGGGAGGGATTGTGGTACAGAGAAGCTGGGAAAATGAGTTGCAGATTCTCCTGAAGGGAGTGTTTCACACTGGTGGTGTTGGTCAGTGCTGCACACTGCTGTGGGGAGGTCAGAGAGGGTGATGGTGAGAAATGCATCTGGTCTGGTGACTAGAGTTGATGCCTTTGAGAGGACTGGTATCCTTTGAAGGAAATGCTTCCCTGTAGGGTAGACACAAGATTGCTAGCACAAGGACTGGAGGTACGTGGGTGCGGGGAAACAGAGACAAAGCAATGCTGTTTTTTGAGTAATAGGAATGATGGAAGTGGGTGAGATCAGAAAAATCAAGTATGGTACAGTTATAGAAGTCACTGTGGAGATAGTTACGTGAAGTGCAACAAATGCTTTTTTTTTTTTTTTTAAATATCATGGGGTGATGCTAAATGTAGAAGGGAGGGGCTAGGCATGGTAGGTCCTGGTTCTCAGAAGGCTGAGGTACCAGGATTATAAGTTCAAGGCCAGCAATGGGCTATATACATAGCAAGACCCTGTCAAAAAAAATGATAGAGGGGAGGGGTGACTGATGTGTCAGGTCACCAAGTAGGTCAGGAGCATCGTTTCTAAGGGCCCAGGAGAAGGTTTGGTTAAGGAACTATGTGAACTACGGACTCTAAGTTGCAGGCTCAAGGGTGTAAGAAGTGCTTTGCTTTGGTACTGATCATGGGGAGGCCAGTAGTGGGGAGGCCAGCCTATCCAGGGGGCAAGGGAAGAAACGAGGAATGATATTTGGGGCTAAAGCTGGAAACAGTTTGGAGTAGATGTAGTGGGAAGTATGATAGGGACACAGCAATGAAATCCTGGACTGCTGAGTAGGGTTGAAGCCCCCCTGAAGTTAGGCAGAATATACTGTAGCAGATCCTGTTCTGGTTTTGTGATAGCAAAAAGCATTGTTGAAATGATAGACCAGCTTGGGGTGAGACAGAGAGGAAGACGGAAGGCTCCAAGGGATAGAAGAGAGGTGTTGAGGGACAGAGAGCAGATGGGGAACACAGTCAGTTTAGTAGCAGTGGCTTTCTAATTAGAGAGCACTGGTGAGATGGCATAGGACCTTTCAGAATTTGGCTTTGACATCAGGGTCTTTCTGACTGAGGGTGTGGACAGGGGAGCAGATGTGAGTGGCTGAAGTGAGAGAGATGAGTAGATATGATCACTAAAGCGAGAGCTATAGGAAAGTGTGAGGTTAGGTGTTAGGAAGCTATCAGAGGTTGATGAGATCCTTGAGTGTGGAGAAGAGGATTGTGAGAAAGACAGTGAAACCAGCCCAAGAGATCTAGGATTGAGTCCCTGGTGTCAGCAGTAGCAGCCAGTGATAGATTTCCTAACATTGTCATGTTTTGAAAACAAGTATTTTGGAGGAATTAGTATGGCAGCCAGTGCAGGGTTATTTTAGAAGAATGGCTGATGACAGCAAGAACATCATAAGCCTTTCTCAGTAATCTTGATAGGCCCCAAAGAAATATTTGAAATTATTTCTTAGAAATGGAAGCAGAGAAAGTAGGTTTTCTTTTTTTATCTTGAAGTTAAAAAAATAGAAATATTAGTTTATCTGAGGAACCACTGATTCCATACAAATTCCATTATTCTCCACTGTGAGTGTGGCATCGGTCATTTGAATTCTCATGGAAAGCTGATTTTGTTGCAGAGCATTTATTGTTTTGCAGTTATTTTTTCTGTAAATGTAAAATGAGAGATCTAATGTATACCATTTTTGTTTTGTAGAGTATGATCAGTATAATGCTCTCAATGTTCCACTGCACAATAGAAGACATCAGGTAAAGGATGAAGTTCATATTCTTATTTTCAGCCGCGTGTATGTCAAACTTTCCAGAAATAAGAATTAGTTTGGGCCTCTGTTTGATGTACTAAGTCATGGCTTTACTTTCTTGTGCATTTATGTAAAATTTTATAAGTTGCTTTTTATTCAATTAGTAAGTAATACTGGTTTTTGATGTCTCTTGCTTTTTGCCTGGGCCGACCTGGAGCACCATCTTCCTATTTATGCTTCTTGCAGTAGCTGGGATGACAGGTGTATGCCACTACACCCAGCTTTTTCTGTTGAGATGGGATCTCTAGAACTTTTTTTGCCTGGTTTGGTCTAAAACTGTGATCCTTCTGATCACTGCCTAATGAGTAGGAGTAGCTAGGATTATAGGTGTGAGCCATTGGCACCCAGCCTGGGATGCCTTAATTTTTTGAGTCATGTTTTCCTTCCTTCCTCTCTCTTTTCTCTGTCTCCTTCTCTCCATACGACCTCTTGCAGCTAGGCCATCACTCTTATCACTCAAGCCATGCTTTTGCCGTGAACCATTTTTTTTCGTTTTAGATTGGTGAACCTTACACTTAAATGGCCTAGGTTAAGTGGAGAAGTGGAGTGACAAAACTGGTAGCTTTCTATTTTTCTTAGATAGGAATATTGAAACTCAAGTGGGAGCAAATGAATTTATATGAAGGAATAATCATACTAGAATTCAATTTTTTTTCTCCAAAAGCAAACTTAATAAAGTGGTTTTAGAATAATAATTTGATAATTGACTGTATGTTTTTCGTTTTAAAGCTGAAGCTGCGAGATATTGCGAGGCAGGCCCTGGCTTTTGTTCAAGATCTTGTGACAGCTCTTCTGAATTTTCACACTTACACAGAACAGAGGATTCAGATTTTTCCTGTTGATTCTGCCATAGACACTATTTCACCATTGAATCAGAAGGTAAATTTAACTCAGAATGCATGTTGTTGACCTGAAAAGTAGGGAGAACGATAGGGAATTACTTACAGACCACTTCTGTGCATTAGTCAACTACTGTGGAGGACATGGGAAAAACCCACAAGTCTTTGCCCTCAAGACAAAGAATGACAAAAGAGGAGATTCTTAAATTAAAAGTATGGGAGTCGTTGAAAAGACCTCAATGTGAGTGAGTGAATGAGTGGTGTGGGCTGTAAGGATCTGGAAGCATCAACGAGGGGCATTGGCCATTGGTTTTTGGGAGAGATTCTTTGGGGATTTGAGGAATTAGCAAGATTCAAATAGAGAAGAGGGATCGGGTTCCCTCACCTCCAGAAGAAGAAAAGGCATGAGCAAATTCATGGAGCAGGATAGCATGATGGGATGGGGTAGGGATGGGAGGAATAATAAGCAAGAGTGTTGGCTGAACTGTAAAGTCCCTGGAGGGGAGGAGTGGGAAGTAAATTTGAAAAGATAAAAAAATGGCTCCAAGGTTCTGGAAGTCTCCTGAGGGCAGGCCAAAGCATAGACCCTTTACTGTGTTTATAGGATTAAGGCCTTTGAAGGGCTAATTTTGATATAATGAAAAGTGCCATTTTATTGTTAGAAAGATTAATTTGCTGGCAATTTTCTTTCTTCCTATTTGTAGTCACTGTGTCACTTTAGTCACTGGGAGTGTTTAAAACCAAAATAACCTGTGTGCTATAACTGACCTTTCTCTTCCTGCTGGGGTATAGAGTGGGAATAAAACTGCATGTCCAGTTGAGACTGGATGGCATTTTCAGGGGTTGTGAGCTTTAAAAAGGAGTATCAAGAGGTTTGAATGTTGCTTCCTTCAGTCCATGTGCTTTTCTTTGGCCTGTTACTCTGGTCTTGCTATGTAGCTCAGGTTGATCTTGAATTTGTGATCCTTTTGTCTCTGCCTACCTAGTTTTGGAATTACAGCTGGATGCCACCACATCTGGCAGATTAAATGTTAATGAGTGTATTAATTATGTATTACTATGTAATAAACTATCCTTAAATACAGTAGTTTGAAGCAACAAGTACTTAGTACCGCACACAGTTTCTGGGATGTGGGAGGGTTCTGGTTTAACTTCTCATAAGGATTCACTTGAGATGTCATTTGGACTGCAGGCACTGAGGCTGGGGAATTTGCTTCCAAGGTAGCTCACTTATATGCCTGGTAAATTAGTGCTGGCTGTTGGCGGGTAGCTGATTTCTCATCATGTACACCTTTTCATAGGGCTGTTGAATGTCCTTGTGACATGGCAGCTAGCATCCATCATAGAGACTGATCTAAGAGAGACAGCAAGATAAGCCACCGTCTTATGATACTACCTGGGCAGTTATATACTGTCACTTCTGCCATATTCTATTTGTCATGTAAACCAATCCTGAGACAATGAGAGGTCCTGCACAAGGCAAGAATACGTGGGGATCATTGAGGCCAACTTGGAGGGCAGCTCCCACATGGAGGAAATTAAGGGACCTTTCTATAGATGTGTCCTCTGAGGCCTTGATAATATAGTGAGTGGTTTGAAATTAGTCATGCCACTCTTCCTATTTAATTTGATTCTTTTTCCCAGAATTATGCAGTATTTCCAGGGATTGAATAGTGTTTGTGTCTATGAATATCCAAAGTACCTATTTGTGTAGCAAATACTTGGACTTTGGAGTCAAACTTCTTAGGTTCCCAGTCCAGTTCTGCCGTCGTCTAGCTATGTCCCCTAGGGAGATTTATTTAATCTCTCAGTGGTTAGGTCCTCATCTTTAAAATGAGAAATAGAATACCTATGTCACAGGTACATATGCTTGAAGATTAATAAGATAATATGTGTAAAGTACTAAGAAGAGTGTCTGGCATGTAGTAACTCAATGAAGGTTAGCTATTATCATTATCTTTTTGCCATACACATAGGAAGCCCTCAGTGGGTGCTTGGTTTTCATCAATTTTTGTCTGACTTCACAAATGTATTGAAGTTAATAGCAAACTTTGGGCTTTTGAAATACTCATTAACATCAATGTGGGAAAAAGCTTTCAAAATAACTGAATAGGAAAAACAGTACTGCCACATTTTAATATAGTTATACTTCTTATAATATCAAAACACATTTTCTATTTAATATTGGTTCTTTGCCAGTTACTGAGATTTTAGTTTGTTGCTACATTATACCCATACAGTGAAAATGAAGTGTGTTAAAATTAATTTGTCTGGAACACTTCATTATCTTGAAGGATTTGTGTATTTCTCAGTATTTTACCTTTGGTGTTTTGGCTTATGAAAGGGTTTGTGTGATTTTTCTAATGTTGAAGGAGATTTGGGAACCATTTGTTAAAAGATCACCAGAATATTTAACTTTAAGCTTAGAGTTCATCTTATCTTACAGCTGTAAAGGTTGAAGCCCAGAAAGATGAGTTGCCCAGGACCATATTTATATCTGTGTAGTTTGCAGTGGGGTCTGTGAACCATGTTTCTGCAGAATGAGACCTTACATTTCTATCCTGAGAACTGAACCTCAAACCATTATATAACAATTAGACAACAGAGATATTTTATAAATGAAAATTATCCTTTTGCTTCTAAATTATCCAAATACCTGTGGGACTTTTCCCTGAATCTGTTTGTGTATGTGTAAACATGTGTATGTGTGTGTTGGGATCAAACTCAGAGCCTCACACATGCTAAGCACACACTCTACCACTGAGCTTCATCCATACCCTTTGAATCTATTCATCATACTGAGTTAGGTTTTTACTTACTAAAGTGTCTGTGACAGTTGTAAAAGTTCCTTTCTTTTTCTTTCTTTCTTTTTTTTTTTTTTGGTGGTACTGGGGTTAGAACACAGGGCTTTGTGCTTGCTAGGCAAGTGCTGTACTGCTTCAGCCATGCCTCCAGCCTTATAATTTTATATCATTTTGATAATTACATTCCTGGCATTTGTTAACCCTGAATATTGTATATAGTAAAAATAAGAAGCTATCATCAATAGCTTGTTTTTTTTTTTAATAAGGCACATAACGCAAAAATCTATTTCCTATAGTCTTGATTTTCAAACCATTTTTTTTTTTATCCTCTTCGTGCTGGGGTATACTGCAGGATCCCCTCTCTTGTTTCCTCTGATGCCTTGTTCAATGTGTCACCCATCTTCTGTTTCCTTATCTGGGACCATTAGAGGGGAGCCCTTGCTAAAAATCAAATTTCTCATAAAAGTTTCCAAAAGAATTTAGGCTTATGACTCAGAGGGTCGATTTACAAATGTGTTAGTGTTTATTTTCCAATGACTTAATTCACATTTTGTTCTCTTCTATTTAGTTCTCACAATACCTTCATGAAAATGCATCCTATGTCCGCCCTCTAGAGGAAGGAATGCTTCATTTATTTGAAAGTATTACTGAGGATACTGTGACTGTCCTGGTAATTTTCTTCCTCAATGTTACATCTAGAAGTGGGGGCTCCACTTAGTTCAATAGCACTTTTAACTTTGAAATTGTTTTTCTTTTCCAGGAGACAACTGTGAAATTGAAAACCTTTTCAGAGCATCTAGCTTCCTACGTATGTTTCCTTAGGAAGATTCTTCCTTATCAGTTAAAAAGGTATTTCCCAGGGTCCATGAGGGTTGGGGAGCTGTGGGTGGAGTCTGACTTGCTCTGGAGTTAACAGTGACACATGCTCCTGTGATTTGCCTGACCCTTGTACACCACAGCCTTTTCAGACTTTTGTGGAAAAGGGAAAGCATGGTTGAATAGCAATAAATTGTGTTTAAGAAAACTGAATTGTCTGTCAGGTACCATTTCTCAGTAGCTCTGTACTGTGGTTATAATATAATCACAGTGTTAGTATTTTTAATAATTGTGAATGGCACCTTTATTGAAAGAAATCTTTCACTTTTGGGTTTTTATTATCCCTTTGCTATAAACATCTAGATGGGGTTATAAAATATAACTTCTACATTTAGATCCGATATCCTTTGAACAATTATTTTTATTATTAGTGATTTATTTAAGTTATAAAATAAAATCTTTATCTACTTTAGTCCTTACAGACTTGGTCTTTAGTAACCTTTACTAGTCTACTTTTAAGTATTTCTGGAAAGGCAGAAAAATAATATATATTATTTGAAATTTGATTCAAAAATTTGTAAGTTTTGATACTTTTGATCTAAAACTACCAAGATTCATATTTTATTTAAATCTTTAGCTTTAAAAAAATCAAAGAGTGATACAACTGGATCATAAATGCTATAATAATATGTTTATTATTAATATATTACAAAATAAGTTTTAGATAATATGTAGGTTAATTACTTATAGATATTGAAAATACAAAGTTTTATTATTTAAAAAAAAATACATTTTAAGAGACATATTATTTCCCAATTCTAACCTAGCAAGGTATTTAACCAAAATTCTGTGATTTGTGCACATGAAGGATTTTATGAATCAGGATTATGACTTGAATAATGCTGAGTTATAATTTCATTCAGATTCTTACATGTTATAGTGAAATATAGTTAATTTCTTTAAAAATTGACTCTAAGTTTAACATTAAAAATTACATATACCTTGTTCGTTTGGCTTTTTTTTTGCAGACTGGGTTTTGATCTCAGAGCCTTATGCTTCCTAGGCAGGTGCTCTACCACTTGAGCCACTCTACTAGCCCTTTTTGTGTTATGTATTTTTGAGCTGGGGGCTGACCTTGAACCATGATCCTCTTGATCTCTTATTCCTGAGTAGCTAGGATTACAGGTCTGAGCCACTGGTGCCTGGCTAGCTTATGTTTAAGAAGATTCTTTTTTTAAATTCTTGTGCTGGGGGTACATTGTGGCATTTACAAAAGTTCAAATATATATATATTTATATATATATATATATCATACTTGAATTCACCCTCTCCATCATTCTCCTTTATCCTCTTCTACCCCCATTCCTGGATAGTTTCAGCAGGTCTCATTTTTCCATTTACATACATGTATACCCAGTATTTGCACTGTACTCACCCTCCTACACCCTTTTCCAACATCCTCCTCCATCCTCCTGGTACCCGCCCCCCCCACCAAGGACCTGTCTATCCTTGTGTTCTCTGATTGTGTAAAAGAAAACAATTTGGCATTTTTGTTTGTTTAATAAATAAAAACCAGGGAGTTTCCTTGTTAAACAAAAAAAAGAAGCTCGTGTTTAAGAAGCATTGCAAGCTGGGAGTGGTGGTGCATGCCTGTAATCTCAACACTGTGGCAGAGGCAAGAGGATCTTAAGTTTGAGGCCAGCTTGGGCTACATAGTGAGACCCTGTCTGAAAACACAAAACAAAACAAAACAGCATTGCAAAAGTAGTTGGTACTTAGTCGGTGCCAGTGGCTCTTGTTTGTAATCCTAACTACTTAGGAGGTTGAGCTCTGGGGGGATCATGGTTCTAGGCCAGCCTGGACAAAAAAGTTTGTGAGACCTCATTTCAATAGAAAAAAGCTGGGGTTGGTGTCACATGCCTGTTATCCCAGCAATGGCAGGAAGCCTAAAATAGGAGGGTTGTGGTTCAGGTCAGCCTGGTTAAAAAGTGAGACCTTACTCCTAAATAACCAGAGCAAAAAGGACTAGAGGCATCGTTCAAGCTGTAGAGCACCTGCCTTGCAAGCATGAAGCCCTGATTTCAAACCCCAGTAGCGCCAACACCCCCCCCAAAAAAAACAGTTGTCATTTGATATAGTTATACATTTTTTTTTATCTTTATTTTTTCATTGTTGCATTTAAAAAAACATTTGACCAATCCTTTCTTGATCTAAGATTCCTAATCTTGGAATGTTTTGTCATGTATCTTTCAGCCCTCTTTCATGAGGAATTCGTGTTTTAGATAATTTTGGGATATTGGCTTAAATACTTGTTTAATTGACAAACTGACCTGTTGTTTGGTAGTAAGTGGGCTCAGAATTGATCATATTGTCTGTTGTAAATAAAGAAGTGGCAAGGGCGAGGGAAAGGGAAGGTGAACAAGCATGATTATGATTGCTAACTTTTCTAGTTGTTTTTTGTCTGTTTTGGTTTTTTTGAGACAGTGTCTCACTGTGTAGTAGAGGTTGGCCTTGAATTCACAATCCTTCTGCCTCAGCCTTCTGGGTGCTGGCATCATAGGTGTGCTCCATGATGCTTGGCTTGTTGGTTGAGATGGAGGTTTCTCTAACTTTTTGCTCTGGCTGGCTTTGAACCATGATCCTTGTGATCTCTGCTCTTGAGTACCTGGGATTAGAGGCATGAACTGCCACATCTGGCCCTCATTTTAAGGATTTTTAATACTTAAAATCTTAAAATATTTCAATATCTTTGTGTTGCTCTTAAGAAGGGCATGTGCCTTTATCACTTTATCACTTCTTCCATTTTTTCTTCTGTTTGCAGCAAGTAGTTCTGTGTATCATGATGAAAAAAAAAAAGGGATCATATAAATGAGACCAAATTCCTTTTCTGGTAGTCTGTCTGTAGATATAAATGTTTGAGAACTAACATTAGCGCATTCTAAGTGCTAATTGAAAATCACTCAGGATACTTACTTTTTAACAATTTGCCCATTCTTAGTTTAGAAGAAGAATGTGAATCTTCTCTTTGCACATCTGTGTTAAGAGCCAGGAATCTAGAGCTGTCCCAGGACATGAAAAAGATGACAGCGGTGTTTGAGAAGCTGCAGACTTACATGACTCTTCTTGCCTTGCCAAGTAAGTGTTTTCTTGCTCATGATTCAACTTGAAGCACAAGAATCCAGAAAAATTGGTAGAGTGAAAAGGGCATAGGATATAGAGTCAGAAAAAATTCTAATTCAAATACTCTAGTCCCTTGGACAAAACACTTCACCCTGTGCTTCTGTGTTCTCATTTATAAAATGGAATTCAATGTTGTGATTATTAAGTTTAGAATATAAACTATCAGGCATTCGACATGCATTAAATATTGATCTCCTTTCTCTTCTTCCTCTTTTTTAAATGGAAGGAGCAAGTCATAAGAATTTGTAGCTGCTTTCCAACAAGAAGCATATGGAGCTTTGGTAGGAAAGATGGCATTTGTTTCCCTCTGGCCTCATTTGAAAAACTATCTTCAGGTAATTGAATGGGCCTGAGTTTCAGTAATGTTTTTAAGAATGCCATGAGGGGACCACCAGTTTCTGGGTCCCCCTGCATTCTCCACTATGCAGTCTTTCTCTTCTCTACAAATAAAATCTTTCCGACCTCTGCAAAAAAAAAAAAAAATGCCATGAGTTTTTTTTGGTGCTGAGATTTTTTTGGTGTTTAAAAAATATTTTGGGCTGGCAGTGTGGTTCACATGGTAGAGTGCCTGTCTAGCAAATATGAGGCCCTAAATTCAAACCCCAGTACTGCCAACCCTCACCCCAAAACAAAACAAACATCTTTCTTGTGATATCAGCTAGATAGTATACAATTTACCCATTTAAAGTATTGTTCAGCAGTTCTTAGTATATTCACAAATATGGGCCATCAATTACAGTTATTTTTAGACCATGTTTATCACTCAAGAAGAAACCCTGTTCTCTTTAGCTATTGCTCTCCTACTCTTCCATTCCTCCTGCCCTTAATCATAAGAAATGACTTATCTACTACAGATTTGTCTGTTCTAGATACTTCATATAAATGGAATCATGAAATGTGTGATCTTTTTTTTGTGTATGTGGTACTGTGGTTTGAACTCATGGTCTCATGCTTGCTAGGCCAGACACCTTACCACTTGAGTCACTCTGCCAGCCCATGTGTGATCTTTTGTGACTGCTTTCTGTCACCTAGCATAATGCTTGCAAGATTTACCCAAATCATAGCATGTATCAGTATTTCATTCCTTTTTATTGCAGAATGATATTTCATTGTATGGATGTATCACATTTTATTTACCTATTCACCAGGTAATGGACATTGGATTGTTTGGCTATTATAAACAATGACACTATAGACATTCATATATAAGGTTTTGTGTGGATACATCTTTTGGGCTTATACCTAGGAGTAGAATTGCTGGATCTTATACTATGTTTAACTATTTGAGGAGCTGCCAGATTGTATTATAAAGTGCCTGACAGTTTTGCATTCCTACTAGCAATTTTATGAGCATTCCAAGTTCCCCATATCCTCCTAACTTTGTTATTATCTGACTTCTTGAACTTAGCTATCCTAATGGGTATGAAGCAGTATCTTGTGCTTTTGATTTATATTTCCCTGTATCTAATGATGACACATATCTTTTAGTGTGGATCTCATGTCCATAAGCTGGTGCAAGGGTGATAGGGCCCCAGTATTCTAAGCAACACCTGATCAAATCAGCTTAGAGCCTCTGTCTCAGGAATGGGGGATGGGTGGAAGAAGGGAACACTCCCCCCTCCCCCCCACCGCCCTGTCCCCACCTCGTGGCCACACTTAGAAGCTTAGCCTCAGCAGCAGGTACTTGCGGGCAAAATGGTAACTCCATTCTCAGGTTGGGAGATGGAGGAGAGGCAGTCCAGTGTGCATGACTGTACCTGTTGGGAGTGAGGTTTCTATCTCATGGAGCTGGTAGACGAATGAGGAAGTCTTGGGTCACATACCACAGACTTGCTGTTTTTGCTGAGTTGTTACAGATTTTCTTGAATAAATGTTTCTCCATTTGTTATATGTCTTTATAGCCATTTCTGGAAACTTTAAGTTATTATTATTATTATTATTTTGGTAATTGTTACCAGTTTTTCTGGGGGGCAGATCTGTAGAGTTCCTCATGCTGTTATGCCAGAAGTAGAAATTAATGATGTTTGGATAATAGTGCTTTAGTGATATTTAACAAAAAGTTATGTGTAGGGAATGAAAAAATAAGAACTGTGTTATCTAGTAACAAAATGAAAATTCACTAAGACTTTCATTTTTAAAAAGTCACTAAAGGCCTATTCCTGATTAGCAAATTAATTTGAATTCTTAGCCCTTAAAAATGTTTGTGCACATCAGTGTATTTTCATCATATGTTACTGTATCCACAAAGGCTTTAAAAGCCATTATTTCAAGTCTCCCATCTCTATCTTCCTCAAAATGGAGGGAGATGGTGGGTGGTTGACCTTTCAAGAAAATGCTCAGCTTTGTGACTCGGTTTCCTAGGTACAGAGCCAGATGGACTCCTTAGGACAAACTATGGTTCTGTCTTAACAAATGTTGGTGCTGCTCTGCATGGATTTCAGGATGTCATGAAAGGTGAGCCTTGGAAAAGAACATAAATAAGCATCAAACTTTCCTTCCTCAGATCTGCCTGAATGAGATTTAAATAAACACTGCTAAGGGCCATAGACCCAGATAAAGACTTAGCAGCATTTGGCTTATGTGGAAGTGCACAGTTACTGCCTTCTGCTTTTCCCCTCTGCTTGATTTCTGAAGGTAAACAAAGTGATGATGAGAAGTCCTTGCACACAGTTCTTTAGCCAGAAATACATTACAATGATTTAGTGCAGGTGTAGATTTTACCACACCAGACATGCTCATCAGAGGCATTTAGCAACCTTCTTTACAGTTGTGAGAGCTTAAGCCTGGATTTAGGAAACCAAAGCTAATGTTTCCAGAAAGAATATACTATCGATCTCTCCTCCATCCTGTGCATTTTGATGTTTAAAGTGATTGCTTTAAATTCTGTCTTGTTCAGCATGGTCTTAGGAAATGAAAGTCTGCTTGTAAACCTTGGTCAGTTTTTAATTGCTTCTGTGCTTCTGAGAATATAGTCTGCCAAAGGCCTTAGGAAAATTTTTTAAGGCATTTCACATGTTTTGAAGTATGTGACTCTGACTCCTGAGCAATCTGCAGCTCTGTCTTGCTTTTTGATATCTCCCACCCTTCTTTCTTTTCATTTTGGAGACTTGGAGTAAGGGAAGGAAAAGAGGTAAGAGTGATTTTTAGAACTGTTGGCAATAGCCCAGGTACCTAGATGGTTCACTATGAATGTTTAGTTAATAATTAGTGATTAATTTCACAGAAAATAATTTTTAAAAGCTTAACACTATTTTATATAATGTGTGAGAGGAGTATACTTGGTGCCCTCTAAGAGACTGGCACGTGCCTATGGCACTGGGGTTTACTTTCATTTCACCAGTATTACCGCGTACCACTTTACCATTCAGGCTGGAGAATGGGCCTTTCTTGGCTTGTCTTTAGTGATTATAAGGAACTTTAAAAGCCACTGTCCTTCTGGACCTAGTCCTGGTTTTAGGAATCAGCTCGGATAGGTGATTTGGGTGGCAACCCCACAAACCTTGGTCTGCTCTATAGAGAACTGAGGGATGTGTTCTTTTATTCCTTGCAACTTTTGGTTTGAGGGTCTAGGATTTGCTCTAGTTTTCTATTCCAGAACTTTGCTTAACCTAGAACCAGGCCTTTGTAACCACAAGTACCTTTGTGGCCACAGGTTTTTGGTTTTGTTTTTTAAATTTTCCAGTGGAATATTATTTGTTTCTTCCAGTAGTTTCTCCAGAATTTTTAAATAGGAGGTGTTAGACTAGTGAAGGGTAGCTATCCAATGAAAGGGTTCTTAATGCATCATTTGCATAAAAATATCCCGATTTTATTTATATCAATACTTTAATTAATAATGTAAAAGTTTTCTAAAGCTGCCTTTGTATATTATACAGATCAAGACGATGCCAAGTGGTCCAAATCAAAGTATGTTACTGTTGTGTTTGATAAGAGCTGATGGAGATTATGGGAGGATCAGAAACCCCTTAGCCTTTTATGCCTTCACTTGTTTCTGTTCTTGAAGTGAACAAATATAAGGAAAGAATATTAGGAAACATGAAGGATGTTGGCAAGTAGATTATAGGACCCTGTTGCTAGGCTTGTAGTTCAAATCTGTCTTCTTATGTAGGTTGGAAGACTATTATGTCTTTAGTGAAAGCTAAGAGGGAGCATTACCTACATTGGCTAAAGAATCTTTGCTTTTAAGAGAATTCTTATTGCAAACCTCTCCTCTTCCTGTTTTTTCCTGAATAATTGCTTGTATCAAATTTGGAAGTAAGGAGAGAAGATGGATAGGTTGGTTGGTAGGTTGATCTTAGTGTAAAAAAGAGGGCTAGGGAGATACAAAAATATGAATATTATATGGAATTAAAATGAGAGAGAATTAATCTTTTGACAGATGGCATTCTGGGTTTTTCGAGATAGGGTCTTATGAGCTATTTGCCCAGATTGGCTTTGAACTGCAATTCTCCTGATCTCTACCTGCTGAGTAGCTAGGATTACAGGCATGAGCCACCAGTGCCTGCCCCAATATACCACATTTTCTTTATTCTTTCATCCATCGATGGGCACCTTGGCTAATTCCATAAATAACTTGGCTATTATGACTAGTGCAGCTATAAACATGAGTATGCAGGTATCTCTATAGTAAGCTGACTTTAATTCTTTTGGATATATACCCAGAAGTAGTACACCTGGATCATATGGTAGTTCTATTTTTAATATTTTGAGAAACATCTATACTGATCTTCATAGTGGTTAGACTAACTTGCATTCCTACCAACAATGTATAAGGTTCCTTTTTCATATATCCTCACTGCATTTGCTAGCTTTTGTTTTCTTGATGATAGCCATTCTGACTGGGTGAGATGGAATGTCAATGTAGTTTTGATTTGCATTTCTCTTATGGCTAAAGATGTTGAACACCTTTTCATGTATCTGTTGGCCTCAGTACTTCTTTATCCAAAAAGTGTCTGCTCAGTTCATTTGCCCATTTATTGATTGGATTATTTGCTTTTTTGGTGTTTACTTTTCTGAGTTCTTTATCTATTTTAGATATTAATCCCCTGTTGGATGAATGGCTGGCAAAGATTTTTGGAGTTAAAATTTAATGGTACATGAAGCCAGGCCCCAGAGTAACCAATTCTTATTGGGACTGTGCAGGGATTTCCCATTGCTAGCTAGGGTGTATACTTGGCAAACTAGCCAGGGTCCAGTATTGGTTGTTGTGGGACATCACGCCCATTTTGACTGTTCTGTCCTAGCCTCAGGTTGCTTATACAAGTATAATTTCTCATTCATACCTGCTTGACCATCAAAACAGTGGTTTTTAACTTATAAATACTAGTCAGAATCTTTTACCTAATGCTAGAATTAGGGCTAGTTCTCAAATGAGGAAGACTCACTCACAGGCTGGTGGCTGTAGTGAAGTCAACCAAGATGGTGTCATGAGGCCCTTACTTCTTTGTATTCTTTCAGCCTAGATTTGTAACCTAACTGATTTTTAGCATAATCCTGATACTTGGGACCATACTTCATCAAATTTACTTTATAAATGTAAGAGTAGATATGAGAAGCAAGAAGGCTGGTTATTTATAGATGCAACCTGTATAACTAGTATATAAATAGTAGTTAGTTTTCATTTAATTGTTTTTATAGATATCTCCAAACATTATAGTCAAAAAGCTACAATAGAACATGAACTTCCAACAGCAACACAGAAGTTGATAACAACAAATGACTGTATCCTATCATCAGTAGTGGCATTGACAAATGCAGCAGGAAAGGTAAGTATTCCCTGCGCTTCTACTGACCTTAAATTCAGTTCTTCAATATATTCCTTTTTTTTTTTTTAATGACATAGCAAAATTGATCTGTAAAAGGATTGTGGAATATAAGCCGTTTTTGTGAAATGATGGCTCTCTTTTCCTCTTTCTTACCCAATATATTTTAAATTTATTTTCAGTTTACTTCAGGTTGAATCATCTACTCTATATTTAAAACAATGTGGTAGTGACTGTTTAGCATTCATGATGAGTGAATGGATCACTCCCTGTTTATGTTTTAATGTAAGATTGGATTATTTGAAGTTCTGTGTGGTCTCAATATAGATCTTTGGGTATATCAGGGATCTGTTGTAGAAAATAATTTGAACATACAGAAGACAAAAGCCCAATAATACAACCTCTATTAATATTTGGGTTTTTTTTTTGGTGGGATTGGGGTTTGAATTCAGGGCTTCATGCTTGCAAAGCAGTCGCTCTATCATTTGAGCCACCCCTCCAGTCCATTTTGTTCTGGTTATTTTGGAAATGGAGTCTCTCAAATTATTTGCCTGGGCTGGCCTTGAACTTTGATCCTCCTGATCTCAGCCTCTCAAGTTGCTAGGATTACAAGTGTGAGCCACCAGTGCCCAGTACCTCTTAGTTTTTTGGTAACATTTGTGATTATGATGCCTCTGGTTTTGTATATTAATCATTCCTTTTAAGGCACATCTGTATGTATCTTTCATTGATGCCTGAATATTAGGTAATGATTATCATTTGTATCATTAAACACTGTTATAAACTGATCCAAGTGCCATATCTATAGAAATTCTTTGATCATATATATTGTGGTTTGTGCAGAAGTCACATTCTCAGAGTCATTACCTTCTTTAGCAATTATAATATCTTGGTGAACTCCCACATGTATAAAACCAAAAAGACTACTTAGAACTATCTATACCCATTTGTTTTAGTGACTAAATGTAATTTTTCAAGGAAATGCTTTATCTTTATCTTTTTACATCATTTTTTTTGTGACAGGTTGTCTATAATAGTAAGTGGTTTAAGTGAATCAGAAATGATCATAGGTCATGTTAGACATTCAGTGTCCTCTCTCCTAAACTTAGACTGGTCTTTGTGATTGTTTGCTATGGTGTAAGACCATAATTAAAGCATGCTATCTTCAGGTTCTGTCAGCTCACAGATCCATACCTAGTACATCTGCAGAACAGAGGACCATCCCTTCTGCCTCCTCTTTTACCTTCATCTACAGTATGCCAGAAGCATCATAAGGATAACTTTGATTCAGTTAGGAAAAATTCTGGAAAAAGTGAATGTTGATATTTTATATGAGTTTCTGCATTTGTTGCCTTTTTTGAGAACACTGAAATATTAAATGCCTATATATTTCATAGTTCATTTTATCTTTGCTGTGTCTGAAACCTTAAGACATTTTGTGGGAAAGTATCTGATCTTTACTATGTAATTTTTATAAATTGTTTTTAATTAACGTAAACATTTGAACCGATGTTAGTTGGCGACAGCTCCATACTTAACTAATATACCTTGGTTAAACTAAATTTGATAGTTTGTGATTAAGAAAACAGTAAGAAGGCATGTACATACTAAAGAAAATTTGGAAATATAAAAATACTAGAAGATACAAAATAGACCTCATAAAATAATTCAGTGACCTTAATGCTGATACTGAATGTATCCACGTCATTTGCAAGGAATATATAGCTCAAGATTTTTGGGTACCCATTTTATTGAATACTACCAAATATAGACTTTTACTTGACATACGAAAACATTTATGAAATATGTAACCTTCAGATCTGGGCATGGATGCCTATAATTCCAGAACTCTGGAGGCAGCAGAAGATCATGAGTTCAAGGTCACCCTAAGGTATATGATAGCAAGACTCTATCTCAAGAAACAAAACAAAAAGATAAAAACAAACAACCCCTCACTTCAAATTATTAGTGACTATTAGAGATTAATTGTAATTTTTGTCAATGTAGAGTACTGTGTTTCATAAGCTGCTTCTTCATATTTATCAAGATATAATCTGCTCTCATGTATCCAGGGCTTATTTTTCTGGCTAGGACATTTAGCCAGACATTTTTATTTATATCACCATTTCATGTAGCACTGTAGATGTAGAATCATGGCTCAGCAAAATTACAGTCATGGATCTTTGTGGCTGCTCATAGAGGTTTAATAAATACCAAATCTGTAAATGCTAAGAATCTAGTCTTTTATTATAATTCAAAGATGGAGATTTACAAAATTAAATTGAAGTAGAGATTACATATTTATGATGTTTATGTTGTAACTTCTGTTGGAATATGAAATATTCAGAGTTAAAGTACAAACAGAATGAGTAAGTCCAAACATGGATATTTTGGTATCAGTACAAAAATTAATGAAGTGAACAGCTCATTAAAGTCACCTACAGAATAAAAAAGAATCGTTCTTGGTTTTCAACAAGTAGAAATTGTCTATAGTAGGGCATGTCAAAAGTCTGTTCTCAGTATTTATATTGGCATTCTCTTTTTACATTCATCACCATGGTAATCTCATTAAGTAAGCACAGACTTGTGCACAGGTGTTAAAATTTCATTTCCATTCTCAGAAACTACTCCAAAATATACTAGACATATATATATGAGACCACTGTTGGGAAACAAAATCTCTCTTCTTGTTTAGATCGCGTCTTTCTTCAGCAACAACGTGGACCACTTTGTTGCCTCTCTGAGCTATGGGCCTAAGACTGCGAGTGGGTTCATTAGTCCTCATTCAGCGGAGTGCATGCTGCAGTACAAGAGGAAGGCTGCTGCCTACTTGAAGGCTGTGAGAAAGGTTGGTAAGCTCAGAGGAAAAGTCACAGTTAACTTCAGAGAATTGCAGGAGTCTTGCCATGGTCCATATTCTTTAGATTTTATACAAATTTGTGGTTCAGGGGCGTGGTAGGTGTTGTAGGGGTGGTCTTTGGCAAAAAAGACGACAGATACCCAAACTTTACCTGGTCAGGAGTTTTGCCAGTGGGCAAAGGCCATGTTGGTCTTGTGTCCCCAGGTAGAGTGCCTGTGATAAGGTAGCCTAGTAGACACTAAATATGAAACTTTAGAAAATATTAACTTGTAGAAACAGAAAAAAATTGAGACATGTAGGTAAGTTTTTATAAATATAGTAAGAATTTGTGGCCATTGGAAAAAGAAAAGTCAGAAGGTGTAGACCTTAAGAAGAAAAGTATAATCACCCCAAGTCCCACCACCCAAATGTAGCAACTCTGAATCTTGTTAGAATATGAGTATATGTAAAAACACGTTAACGTGTGTAAGCATACACACAGGCTATAAAAAGAAAAATGTATCTAGCTAAACACCCTGTTTTAGAATCTTTTCCTCCTAATGCATTATGGATATGTTTATCTATCAATATAAATTACTGTCATGGCTGTTTTTTTTTTTTTTGAGATGGGGTCTTGCTATGCTACCCAGGCCGGTCTTAACTTACACTCATGCCTAGCTGACTCATCATTTTAATGCCTCTGTAGTAGTTCCTGCTGTGAATGTGTAATAATTTAACCATTCCATTGCTGGGGACCTATAGGTTGTTGTCTGCTTTTCTCTGTTATATGCAGTGCTGCTGTGGCTGTTCTTAAACATGCAACTTTACATTTCCTTTTTTTCTATTCATTTCTTTTAAGTGCACATAAACACTTTAATTAAATTAGAACGTAACAGGTAAATTATCCCTAATTTCAGTTTCTATCCAGAGGTGACCATGGTTATCAGTTTGATGTGTATGCCCTGGCTCTTTGAGCATTTATTAGTAAGCATTTATAAACCTATACACAATATAAAGAATTCTTCCTTTCTTTTTTAAAACCTAATCTAAACTTCATTGTACAGTTTGCTTTTTCATGTAAAATGACTTAGCAATGTATGTCTTTATATATGTGGTGTCCACTGTATTCCTTTTGAAAACAGCATAGAATTTTATAATGTGGGTGTTCCGTGGTTCATTTAGGTTTCCCCTAATTGATGGGCATTGAGGTTGATTTTGACTTTTTTCTTGTTAGAATAAATTGCAATGGGTAGCCTTGTAAATGTCTCCTTAGACATATATGGAATACTGAGAAGGAGAATGTTTTGAGCCATGTGATTTGTACATTTTAAGTTTTAGTTTTTATTTATTTTTATTTACCTATTTTTGCTGTGCTATAGGTTGAACAAAGAGACTTGAGCATGATAGACAAGGACTCTATCACTGGGCTACGTTCCTAGCCCTGGACATTTCAAGTTTCAGTAGTGTTTTGAAGGGTACACCTAGCCAATATATGAGACTACCTATCTCCCTATACTTACCTGTTTTTGTTATTGTTGTTTTTGTGGTACCAGGGTTTGAACTCAGGGCCTACACTTTGAGCCTTTCAACCAGCCCTCCTGATCTCTACTTCCTGAGTAGCTAGGATTACAGGCATGAGGCACTGGCTCTCGACTATTTTAATTATATTTTTATGATTAATTTCCCCAGATGGAATTGCTGGTTGACAGTCTACGAATGCTTCAAATTTTGGCATATTTTTTCGAGACTGTACTTCAGTAAGGTTTACCTATTCATAATTTATACAAATACCAGTTTAGTCTATAAACTTGAGGCTTATCATTAGCTTGAATGTCTTTGTTTACTAATAAAGCAGAATATTCTTTCATAGTTATTGTTTGTATTTATTCTGTCAATTTAACTATTTTAAAATAAATATTCCCAGTTAGGATAGAAAAAGCGCCCTCTGTTTTAAGAATTTTTAATCAAGTGTTTATATCAAGTATTTCCCCCCTAAGTTTGGTGTGGTATTTTTTCAAAATATGTGGTTTTGATTTTTATATCATCAAGCAGTTCTTTTTCTTTTATGGTGGATATCACAGCCAGGGCACTTTCCAAGGTTACAGAAGTACTCACCTGATTTTCTTCTGGTATTTTTGCCATCTAAATTTTTAGATTTAATTCTTTCACCTAGAATTTATTCTGATATATGTGAACGATGTATCTAGTTCTTTTTCTAAATGATTAGAAAAATCATTTAGGAAGTGATTTTTCTAATCCTTGTCACCATTTACCCAGTTTTCTCCATTGAATTTAAAAATGCAATGTTTGTCACACGATAGATCTTTTTTTCTTTCTTTTCTTTTTTCTTTTTTTGTTTTTGAGGGTGCTGGGGTTTGAATCCAGGGACTCATCCTTGCTAGGCAAAAGCTCAATCATTTGAACCACGCACCCCACACACACTAGATTTTTATGTATGCTTTTGTCTGCTTCTGGATTTTCTGTTCATCTGTTTTTCTATTCTTCATCTGTGTTTTGGTGCAAGTTCATACAATTCTAGTTAGTGTAGCTTATACTTGATATGACACATTCTCTATCATTATTTTCCTTTTTCAAAAAAATAAATTTTTCTTTTCAAATGTATTAAAGGAAATAGTCTGTTGGTGTACATCTGAATTTATTACCACTCCCAACTCAGCATTCTTATTTGTATATGTTGGGTAGGGGGAGGGATGATACAATATTTTTTCTTGAATTCTTATGATGCTTTCTCTGCAGCCCCTTGTGGAGTCTGTGCCTTATGAAGAAGCACTAGCCAACCGCCGGGTCCTTCTCAGCTCTACTGAAAGTCGAGAAGGCCTTGCACAGCAGGTATGACGCTTGGAGACTGATGGAAGTTGTAAAAAGCAGACATGTTAAAGCGCCTGGGGAAGGTTTTTAGGGTATAGAGTGAGAAGTATATAGGTAAATGAGTAATTCAAAAGACTACATAAACATGTAACTTGTAAAAATAATTGTTTTGTACATTCTAAAAAGAAGCGTAAGTATAATTCATTGAAAATGAATGTTGAAATTTGTCTTGATATTCTAAATAAGTCATCTTGATTCAGTTGGTATTATAGTTGGTGGTAGAGCAATAACACATTTTGATCATGATGAATTCTATGGGCACTAGATTTAAATGTCAGAAATGCTAAAACAATAAAGGGAGAAGGGGTTGGAGAGTCATCAAGTTATTTCATTTCTTAAATGAGCAGAAATGGAAAATTTCCAGTACTTAGTTTGTCAGTTGAACTGGAGAGGGGCAGGTAGGGGTGGGAAGTTGTTTTTTTCAGAAATTGTTACCAACTAACACCAATTTAGTTTTTGTCAGATACTTACTCACTTCAACATCTGGCTTTTTAGTTTTGGAAATACTCCCTTAGGAAAGAACTTCGAGCTGGGTGCCGGTGGCTCACACCTGTGATCCTAGCTACTCAGGAAGCAGAGATCAGGAGGATCGCCCAGGCAAATTGTTTGTGAGACCCTATCTTGAAAAAAAAACTATCACAAAGTAGGGCTGGTGCAGTGGCTCAAGGTGTAGGCCCTGAGTTTAAACCGCAGCACCGCCCCCCAAAAAAAGAAAACAGATAGGACTCAGTGACAGAACCCTTGTCTAGCATACATGAAATCCTGGGTTCGATTCCCACCACTGAAAAGAGAAAGCGACATCAAGAGAGCACAGAAAAATTTATCAGAGGCAATCTTTTGTTAAAGCTGACTTTATTTTCCTTGCAACCTATCACTTGTCCTTTCAACATTAATGCACTAGGATGTTGGGACTAAAAATTTAATTCCAGCCTGGCACTGGAGGCTCACACCTGTAATCCTAGCTACTCAGGAAGCAGAGATCAAGTGGTTCAAAGCCATACCTGGATAAATAGTTTGCAAGACTCTCTCGAAAATACCCAACATAAAAAATAGGTCTGATGGAGTGGCTCAAGTGGTAGAGCACCTGCCTACCAAGTGTGAAGTCCTAAGTTCAAACCCCATTACCACCAAAAAACCCCGTTAATTCACAAAGTAATTCCCGAAAAAAAAATTTCTCAAACACAGTAAAATGTAGAATACCTTAAAAATTAATTTTGAACCTCAGTCCCACCAAAAAAAGAAAAAAATTAATTTTGGATTTTCTTTGTTTCAATGTGAGGAAAATAAGACTCGAATTAAGTAAATTTTACCCAAAGTAGCTATAAATGGCAGAGCTGCTAAGCTCAGAGCTGGTGCTTTTCTGACTGTGCCACTGACCAGCTGCCAGATAGTCTGCTCAGTGCCTCCTTCCTGCTTCTAAAACGAGTGGATTATCTTCCTTTCAGGATCTTGTAAAGATGCAGTGAGCCAGTGAGAGGCAGTGTGACACCACAGAAAGAAGCCAACTTGTGAGCTAAGAAGACAGGGTCCCAAATCCTGGCTTTGAGTTTTCTAGCTTAGCAGATGGTCTAGCTGCTGGTAACCTTTGTTCTACTGTTTGAGAAATAGGAATTATAGGATTGTTAGGAGTCTTCACTGGGATAATAGGAAGAGAGTACCACAAACCTTGCCTGGTACATAGTAATTGCCCAATCAGGATTGTTGGTAACACGTTTGAATTGACTACAGGAGTGCTATTCTTTTTATGTAATTCTCAAGCTCTTATTTGCTCAGAAAATTAGTTTTTAAAAACTTTGTATTAAGCCAGGCGCTGGTGGATCATGCCTATAATTCTAACTACTTGGGTCGCTGAGATCTGGAGGACAGTGGTTCAAGACTAGCCTAGGCAAATAGTTTGTAGGATTCCATCTTCACAATGACTGGAACAAAAAAAATGGCTGGAGGTGTGGCTCAGGTGATAGAGTGACTGCTTTGCAAGCAGGAAGCCCTGAGTTGAAAACCCAGTCACACCAAAAACAAAAACCTTTTCATTAAAATATAACCTACTTCAGATAAATATTGTAAGTCACTAATGCACATCGCAATGCATTTTTACAAGGAAACACACTGATATGACTAGGAGCTAGGATTAAAAAGGGTGGTGTGTGTTCTCTATGTGAGGTATGCCTAAGAAAAAAATTACCAGGACCCCACACACCTTCCTCATGTCCCTTTCCAGTTACTATTCACCTTTCTCCCAAAGCTAATCTTATTCTGTATTCTAGCACCATAGATTGGTTTGGTTATCTGACACTGAACTTTTTATTAAGTGAAATTATGCTGTATATACTATTTCAGGTTTAACTTCTTTCATTTAGCACTATATGAATGAAAATTCATATTATTCTACAGACAGGCCCACTTTTATATTTTCTGTCTTATGAATTTTAGTCAAATGGGTAATAATAATTGCTTTTTCTTAATAATTAGTGATAGAGAATACCTCCTTTTTATGTTTATAGTCCTAGGGCCTGTTCAAGTCTTTTTTGGTTGTTGTTACTATTTTTACCTGTTTCTCTATTTGGGTATCTATCTTCATCTTACTGCTTTGTAAGAATTCTGTGAAGAATTCTGGGCATTATATAGAAAAGCATCTCCGTTGGATAAAGAATCTTTTTTTTTTTTTTTTTTTTAGTTTAGCAAAGATTTATTTTAGTAAAACAGGATAAAGGGAGTAAAACAGGATAATAGGAAAGGGAAGGAGAAAGGGAGTGAAAAAGACTCAATGGTTGTTCTTGTCTGGGATATTTATCTGGGAGATTTTGTGTTGAATTCCTATCTAGCTATCTGGTCACGTGAATAAAGAATTCTTTATATGTTCTAAGTATTGTATTTCTGTTGAATGTTTTGTAGATTCTTTTTCCATTCTTTGCTTTTCCTTTTCACTCTCTTGATGAAGTCTTTTGATGAGATTTTTTTCACTCTGGTCCTATTTCTCCATTTATGGTTGTGCCTTATGTATCCTGTTTAATCTCTGTTCTAGGGTCAGGCTTTACTCTTTTTACCTCTGTGAGGTAGCTTAAATTCTGTAAGGTATTTTTTTGGCCACTAAGTTTTGTCTGCACAGATGCAAAACTCTATGTTACTTTTCAAGGTTCAGCAGAGTTTGGAAAAGATTTCTAAATTGGAGCAAGAAAAAGAACATTGGATGTTGGAAGCACAGTTAGCCAAAATCAAGCTAGAGAAGGAAAACCAACGAATTGCAGATAAACTGAAGAGTGCAAGTAGTGGGCAGCTGGTTGGGCCAGCCCAGGAAAATGCTGTTGTGTCACACGCTACTGGCCAGGAGGAAGCTGCAGCTAAGGCTGTATCAGAGCCCATTCAGAGCACAAGTCTGGTAAGTGTCTTCATGATATCCTTGCCCCCAGTTTTCTTATTTTATTGCTATCTTATAAGGACCTAATCTGGTGTTCAGTGTTAACCATTGTCCCTTTTGGCTCCTGTAACAAAATACCACAAACTGGGTGACTTACTAACAACAGAATTTTATTTCACACAGTTCTGTCCAAAATCAGGTGCTGGCACATTTTGGTGTCTGAGGGTATGTTTCCTGGTTCATGAATGGCCATCTTTTCACTATGCTCTCACATGCAGAAGGGGAGAATGAGTTCTCTGGATCTCTTTTGTAAGAGTCCATTAGGTCATCACACAAGAGATGTACCTCCTCATACTGTCACCTTAGGGCTTAGGATTTTGACATGAATTTTGGGAGACACAACATTTATACCATAACAGCCATCTAAATTACACGTCATTTTATAACAGGAATGATCCATGTACTCTAAAAAACAGCAAGATGTCTTCTTCAAAAAGTGACCCCTTTAAGTTCCCTGGGATTTTATGAGACATCACATGGGATGATTCTGCTTTTCCATAATAACCCCTATAATACATAACCCCTATAATATGGGGTTATGTTTCTAACAAGGACCAAATACCTGACTTTTTAGGAAGTGACCACTGAGCCATTTTTAACCAATTGTGTAATATGTCCTAGAAAGTACAGAGCCCTATAATATAATACAATATAAAAACCCATCATCTAATTCTTTTTCAAGGAATTACATTGGCAAATTATCACTTTATTTTTCCTGCCTGACTTTTAACTGCAGTGATTTTTAAAAAAGGTAAAGCAACATCTCTATTGGCATTATAGAATTCAACATTACTTTTTATAAAGTTTTCTAATTATAATATTCTGCCTGTAGTTAAAAAAAAAAAAGGATAAATCAGAAGGGGAAAAATATACCATCAAAGTCAAAAGAGTCCCTTCAGGTATACTTTTCCAATCATTATTTCTAACTCTATAGCATTTCAAAGGTTAAATGTTTATTCATTAAAACACCTAGTATTGTGATTTGAACTGTAACTTGTTATAAAAAAAAAAGATAGCAATAATCTCAAGAAAGAGAAAAGCACATAGCAATACAAATATCCATATTTTACTGGAATTAAAAAGCATTACCTAAATTAATAGAATTTTAATATACCTATGTATATAAAATATGTATATTGTTGATAAATAAAAAGTACAGATGAGTAAAAGAAGAAAAAAATGACATCCTGAATAACTGATCCACCACTGTTAACATTTTTTTCTACAGAATTTCATATATCGTTGATACTGTACTATACAAAATTTCAAATCTTTTAGCATAATGTTAATACAAGTACTGTGTTGTTAAAAATGCTGTATAAACATAGTCACTCCATATCTAATATGTCTTATTTTTATGTGTGCCTGGACATTGGTTGTAATTTTTATTATCTTAAGTAACATCTCATTTTGATGCATAAGGCTTTTGTGTTTTAATGATTTTGATTTCCTTGGGATGTATTTTTAGGGTTAGAATTAATGGATCCAAAAGCATGAATGTTTTCTAGTTCCTTTATCTTTATTGCCAAATTATGTTTTACAAGGACTGCATCACTTTATGCTATTGTCAGAAATGTATGAGGAAATGTTGAAAACACATATGGTAAAAAGTGTCCTTCCAGTTATATAATGCCATTCATTTGAGTGACTTTGTCCCATACCATATTTTAAAACAGTAACAGAGGAGTAGGAGGGTGAGGGCGGGGAAGTGGAATAGATTTTTATGTCTGCAGTTTATTTCATCAAATGCACTCACACTTGAATACTGTAAAATTAAATTATTAGTGTGGTATTATAAACAATTTTTAACTCAGAGAGAGTAATTGCTATTCCTGCTTCATTGAGTAGAAAATTATGGCTCTTCTATTAAAAAAAAAAAGCCTAATGAAAGACTCCTTAATAGATAGGAAGGCATAACATTCATTACTGCAGCTCAGTCTTCAGAATGAGTCTTTTCAGGTATCTTAATTCACAAGAGCAAGAATTTTTTAACTAGCTGCATTATAATATGCTTAAAATTATGTATTTTCTCATTAATTTAAATCTTAAAATGTAAGAATATCACATTAAAAGCATTTCTTTTGAGCTTTCAATTAGTATTTATTATCTGTGTTTTCTGTTCAGAACATTTAATTATTTGGTCACCATATAATCTACCTTTCCTTGGCTACTGCTTTAGAATTAGGAATGAAAGTGATAAGAGGGGTTTGAAAGCCAACTGTCCTCTTGCTCTTCCTAGATCATTTGTTGGGTTTCAGTGAAAATGGCTAATCAGCATTTTGACAGAGGTTTGGTAATGATCTGATCAGAAATAGTGAGTGCAGTTACTTATTTCCAGGTGCGGCATCTTGTAGAGCAGTCCCAGTGTGCTGTGAACTATGTGAACTGAGAGGAGAAAACAGTACAAGAGTTTAACCTCTTGTGTTGGAAATGTAAACATTCTGCTAAAATTTATTTCTCCTTCTGTTCTAGATTGGGATTTTAACCAGGACATCTGACAGCAAGGTAATGTGCCCTTGGCATCATGAAGTTGTTTAGTAAATATCTGGTACATGTTTATTGGCAAAGTCCTGTGGAAGCCATCTTTGTCCAGTTCTTTTTTTTTCTGACAATCTTAGCAATTGGGGAGCAAGTGTTCTACGCCCCCATCAATGGATTCATGTTGCTTTTCTCTTTTGTTCTATTTTAACTGTCACCAACAAATTATAGCCTGCTTTTGTAATTGCTTTGTCGAGTGGCTTGCTTTGCCAGTTAATGAGATGTGTCCCCTGCTCGGCCATTCACACACTGGCATGTTTGAGGTGAAGGGCCTCATTTTGTCCTCCCAGTGAGCAGCGGGGAAGGCAGGGCTTCTCAGGGACTCTATGAGCAGTGTACTTGCAGCGAGTTAACCCAGGTCAGATTTGGCTTTTCAGCTTGGTTTACATATTTGAGCTTTGAAATATTCTAAATATTTATAAATAATCATTAAATGAAAACTGAAGTCATTCACCTTACCACTCAGTGTGGCAAACTGATACAAATAGTTCAAATAGATTGGTAAATTCTTTGATTTCCTTATTTATCTTATAGTTAATCTTGAACTTCAAAGTACACTCAATAGTGTGTCATTGCTAGAGTAACTAGGACAAATATCAGTCTGGAACAAAGGCCAAAAATACAGAAATAGTTTATTGGTATGATTAAGAACATTAGAGTTGCCAGGTACGGTGGCTTACACTTATAATTCTAGCTATTTGGGAGGCTGAGATCAGGAGGATTGTGGTTCGAGGCCAGCCCACAAATAGCTCATGAGATCCCATCTCCAAAATAACCAGAGCAAAACAGACTGGAGATGTGGCTCAAGTGAGAGAACCCCTGCTTTGCAATGCAAGCATGAAGCCTTGAGTTAAAACCTCATTCTGCCAAAAAAAATAAGATAAAATAAAAACATGAGTTGTCTTAAGATAATTTAGGGGGAAAAATAACGTTCAAAATGTAGGAAAGTTGGGGGCATGGCCCAAGTGGTAGACAGCCTGCTGAGCAAACCCTTGAGTTCAAACCCAGTATAGCCAAAACAAAAAACAAGAAAAAAGTATCTGACCCATTGGTCTGGCAGCATGGCTCAAGTGATAAAGTACCTGCCTAGCATGTGTAAGGTCCTGAGTTCAACTGCCCAATACCACCAGGGGAAAAAAAAACTGTGAAAATGTGTAAAGTGTTGTCTTTTTTTCTAGAATTGCTTCATCTCACTGGCATTTGTTTATTTATATGTGCTCTATGTAGGTTCCAGATGTGGAATCTCGTGAAGACTTAATTAAAAATCACTACATGGCAAGGGTAGTGGAGCTTACATCTCAGCTGCAGCTGGCTGACAGTAAGTCAGTGCATTTTTATTCTGAGGTGAGTGGAGAGTGGTTTTTCTGACCCCTTCAGGAATCAGATTGCTGTCCTGCTGTTTGCTAGAAGAGAAAGGTCTGTGTCTGTGCATTTTATGTCTACTCACGTCTGTGAATTGGTTGTGGTTTATAGTGATTAGTGTGTATACCACCCCAAAATCTCCATTTCAGTAAACACAGGACTGGTTTTTCATTTCCAAGTTGCTGCAAGATGGCTTGGGAGGTTTAGACGTAGCCTTTCCTGTGGTCAAAAAGTACACATCTTGGAGCATTATTATTAGAGATTACTTGTTTTAGTTAGAATTAGAGGCAAGTAAACTTTCACAGATGAAGGAATTTTCATACAAACAAGGTGGATGATCTTTTTAAATACGCTCCAATTTCTAAATGACAGGTTTATAGAAATGAATTCCTGTAGATGAGAAAAATGGAAAGAGTAACTAACCTTTTCCAACTTTTAAAAGAAATAAAATCTTACTTTTTGTTTTCTTCTCTTACCAAATAATTTATATTCTTCAGAGGATTAGAAAACATTATGTAATATAATCAATGAAATTATATACCATTTACAGAATAGAAGGAGTAAATGAAGGATGAGAATTTTGATGCTTAAAATTGTTGAAGAAATTGAAAAAGAAAAGATAACATCCTTTATTGGGCCCTGACTTTATCTGTGATTTTCTCCTGCGCTGCACAGATGGAGCAGGAAGGCAGTCGCTAGATGTGGAGAGGGACTTTCTGTCTTTTTCCGCTTAAATGATGTGCTTAGCTCAGTGTGGTTTGCAAGCATCCACTGCATACATGTTTAACAGGTTGGTCAGTAGTGATAACCTGTTGCCATGCAAAAGGTGGGGAGGACAGCGCCTAGGCTGACTTGGCAGTAGAATGGCTGTAATGCTTACCTGAGCCATGCAGTTGTAGCACATGAGCGCATCTCCATTGTTTGGTTCCCTAATTGCTTTCTGGGTTGGGGTTGCAGACTTGAAAGTCATCTTCATGAGGCCCCATGCCTTGCATACCTCTCTCCCTCTTGGTCAGATCCAGTGATGAACACAGAATAGATGCTTAGTTCATAAGAGGTGGTTGATTTGCTTGGCTTAAGTGTCCTAAAATTTTGTTGAGAAATGGAATGAATAATGGGAATTTTATTATTTATTTTATTATTTATTTTTTTATTCTCAAGAGATTGGGCTATTTTAGTAAATGTCTTCAGTACAGCTGTGATATACAGCCGTGTTACAGCAGTGGCCACTGTTGTCGTTTTTTTAGACTGTCCTAGTTTTTCTTCATCTATAAACAGGAAATGGTGGCCCCTTGTATGATTTTACTGGAATGGGTAGTCTAAGTGCCTGATGTCTACACAGCATTCAAGTGTGTCTCATCAGATCCACCTCGTCAGTCAGAAAGTTTAGTGGTTTGTTTAATTACACACCCTTTTTGCACAAGAGTGTGACATAGAATTTTTCCTTAGCCGGGGGCCGGTGCCTCATGCCTGTAATTCTAGCTACTCAGGAGGCAGAGATCAGGAGGATCGTGGTTCAAAGCCAGCCTGGGAAAATAGTTTGTGAGACCCTATCTCAAAAAAAAAAAAAAAACCTTCACAAAAAAGGGCTGATGGAGTGGCTGGTGTTCAAACCCCAGTACCTTAAAAAAAAAAAAAAAGAATTTTTCCTTTTTCTTTTTCATCTACTCTGTCTTTGGATGGTCTAGGTTTGGTAGAACTTCCAGAGAAAACCTCAGTGCTCTTATAGTCTTGCATTCATGTTTTCTCCATGTAGATGGAGCATAATCTATTGGGTGGGATTCTAAAGCTATTATTTCTCCTGTAATTGTGGTCTCTCCTGAAGGACTTAAAACACAAGAAAAGTATCTTAGAATCCATGGTCAGAAAGCATTGATCACTTTTGAAATAACCATTTTCCTTTCATTTATTGTAAGTATAAATGAATCCTGGGTAAAAGTTCTTATGGTTTTCTTGTAACCACTGCTCATTAGCCTAGAGCTAGGGAAAAAAAACACTGATGAGCTTGGGTTGCTAGACTTAAACTACCTGACTAAAATGATGAGGGTGGGACCACATCCTTCTGTGTAGTCCATCTTCTTCCATGTCCTCTCTCTTTTCTTCTATGTAGTGTTCAACAGATATTTGTGGAATCAGTGAATGAATGGCTTTTGGCTTTAGAGATTATTCTAGTAACCTTCCCTGAAGCAAAATCAATTTTGGAAAATGCTGTCTGTAGAAATGGGATGTTTTCTGATTTTACAGTGCAGAGCACTCTCTAAAAGACTAGCCTTGGCTGAGAAGTCTAAAGAGGCATTGGCAGAGGAGATGAAACTGGCCAGTCAGAACATTAGCAGACTTCAGGTAAGTGCCTACGTGTTACCTATGCAGGTTTTGTATCTTTTTATTGGAAGTTCTTGGGAAGCAAAGTCAACTTTTCCTTTCGGGAGTAGTGGCATTTGACCTCTACATGTTGTTTTGGTCACTCTCCCTCCCTCCCCCTTTCCCTCCCTCCCTCCCTCCCTCCCTCTCTCTCTCTCTCCCTCCTCCCTCTCTTTTCTCCCTTCCCTCCCTTCCTTCCCTTTCTTCTTTCTTTCCTTTCTTTCTGGTACTGGGGTTTGAACTTAGGGCCTACACCTTGAACCACTCCACCAGCCCTTTTTTGTGAAAGGGTTTTTTTTGAGATAGGCTCTTGTGAACTATATGCTTGGGCTGTCCCTCTGATTTTTGCCTCCTGAGTAGCTAGGATTACAGGAATGAGCCACCATGTCTGGCATCTTTCTTTCTTTTCTTTTTCTTTTTTTTTTTTCCAGCTGTAACTCCAGACAAGATCCAGAGAGGAGTTTTACAGTCTCTTTTCTGGGTTTTATGGAGATTTCCTTTATACTTCTGGGCTAACCACTTTATTTCTAACTCATTTTAAAGTGACATCTTACCTGTGTCAGACAAAAGTGGTTGTCTTGTTTGTTTCCCTGACTTGACCATAATTTAAAATTTTTCTATAGTTAGTGTTTGCTTAATTATGCTAATGTCCCTATAATCATTCCTTTTCCCCTCTTCCTATAAATTCTCACCATAGTGGGATGTAGGCTTGTTCTGCACTCATTATTCTGTTCTTTCTCTTTCCTGTTTCAGTAAACTGAAAGGTGAGGCTGCAAAATATTCCTCCTTCCCCACTGCCCTTTTTTAAATAAGCCTTATTTTTCAGGAAGTCCCTGTTAATGTAAACATGATAAAGGCACAGGAAAAACCATGAGCACAGAACTGCCCAGCTCCTCCTTGTTTTAGATTAATTCCTCAGATTAGCTAGGAGCACAGGATTCAATCTGAGGTGTTGAAAAGAGCATGAGAGGTGGGAGGAGAGACTCCTTCCATGCAGGTTGCTGCCCTGAGGGCTATGAACCACTGAGGTATGGAATGGTACAGATGTGCAGAGGCCTTATATAAGGCTTGGGAAAACCTGGGGACATTTGGGAAAGCCACTTAGCCCTCTAGCTTTTCTGGCATAGAAAGGAAGCCTTATGTTTTTGCAAAGAAATTATGAATGTATTTTGAACACTGAAACTTTTTTCCTATTTCTTTTAACTTTGTTCTCCTGATAGCCCTAGTTAATTGGCCAACTAGGTCATCTTGATAGGTTGCTTTTCCAAATTGTTTTAATAAAGTAAAACACTTTAGTGGTATGACTACTGGGGCTTTGGTTTTCATTTTTTTCTCTTTTCCTTTGTTCTTTAGGATGAACTGACAACCACAAAGAGGAGTTATGAGGATCAGTTAAGTATGATGAGTGATCACCTATGCAGCATGAATGAGACGCTGTCTAAACAGAGAGAAGAGATTGACACACTGAAGATGTCCAGTAAGGTAGGTGAAAGGTGAGGTGAGCTAGTCCCCCTGCAGTGTAATACTTAATGTTTAATATAGTTAATATATGATATTGCATTGTTATGCATTATGAAAACTAAAGGTTATGAGATGTAAAATGTTTATGAATCATTTTCCTTAATATCATTTTCCCCATCTAAAAGTACAATTACATCTGGGGGAATGGCTCAAGTGTTAGAGAACTTGCCTAGGGAGCATGCGGTCCTGTGTTCAAACCTCAGAGCAACAAAAAAAAGTAAAATTATGTTTCTTTGTCCAAATTATAAGCTGAGGCTTTAATACTGTGTCTGCTGCTTTTTGGCAGTTTTGGCATTTCTGCTATTGTTATATAAGATTAAGGAGAACTCACAGAGGGTTTTAAGAGGGGTATTGCTTTTTGTTTATACAAGAGTCTAAATGGTATAAGAGTGACCATTAACAAATTTATTCTTATAAATATTCATATCACCTAGGAAGGTCTTACCCTTTTAACTCCAGAGATGTCCTTTCATTTTCTTTGTTATAGAGCCTCTGCTGTGCAGGCCAGGGGCAGTAGATACTGGCTAATAAGTTTACCTTGGAGTGCATAGCCTCATACCATGTCTCTGTTATTGGATCATAATGCATGTGTTCTTTTGCCATGAGGGTGAGTTTCAAGGGACCAGTTCTGTGTCATTTCAGATGCTTAGCACATTTTGGTAACTCCGACAGTATTTTACCCCCAGCAGCTGAAATTTACTGTATCTAGCTATCAATTCAGCAGGCATTTACTGAGTTCCTGCTATATGCACTGGAGAGGAAGTAGACATGCATAAACTGTAGCTTTGTTTTATTATTGACTAGTGGAGTATAGGACAGCATTTTGCTCAGTTGGAGTCTCCTTGGAAGATACACCATGTTAATGCATTTGGAGACAGCAATATGTAATTTTGCTTTTCAGTGTAGTTTCATGATATTTATTGGCCTCTTGCTACTTTGTAGGGTGTTTCTGATGCTCATCTGGGCCATGTCTGAGATGATTGTAACCAGCCAATGTGGTTTGGATTATGGTTCTCCAAAGAGTTTCCTGTGCTTCAGGAAACTTAAGCGTGGAGGCAGGGTGTAGAGGCTGGTCCTCTATCCTCCCTTTAACCTGTTGGCCTCTTGATAGTCCAATATGGCAAAGTCTAACCATTGTCATATTCCTAGTAGTGGTGGAAAGCACACTTGTTTAAAAAGGTCATGTTTTAGGTTTTCTCATGGTTTGTTTATTTTAGCAGTAGTATGAAAAAGTGAGTTTTAGCACCTAATACTTGTAAAGAAGTAACAGTGATTTTAGGGAAACTCTTCCAGAGCTGCAGTGTATTTGGTTCTGAGTTGAGAAGGGTAAATGTTAAGTATCCCAAAACTCATTGTAATTGGACTGCAGCTAGTTCAGAAAGTTAGGGAATTTTCAACTTTTCTCAAAGTCTTTTAATATATTCATTAAAATACCTACATTAATAAAATCCTGAGTGAGAGACCACTCTTAAGTTCAGAGTTTATATTGTTAACAATTCTTTGATCATTCTGCAATGCCTGTATTTTGCTGTTTCCCTGTTTATTAGTCATTTATATTGCCTTGACATCATCTTGTGGCTGAGTTGACATTATCTCCACTGGATACCAAGTAAACATCCTCGACCATTTGTTTGCTATTGTCTTGCTCTTAGCATTTGTGTTCTGTAAGCATTACCTACTTATAAGAAGAAAATGTGTGTACCTAATTGTTTAAGAATTCAATTAGAATGTATTCTTTAGAAGCAGACCTCTCCAAAAAGAAGAGAAGGTATGCAAAACTAGAAAGTCCAAACCTCCATATTTAAGGGAATTAAGTTAAGGCATCTTCCCTACAGCTTGTTCCCACCCATTATCTAGGGTTACTTTTGACAGACAATAGTGCCATTTAGGTGTTAGTTGGCACATATTCAAAATTATAAGATGGGCATGTGGCACACCCTTGTAATCCCATCACTAGGGAGTTGGAAGCAGAAGGATTTCGAGTTTGAGGCCAGCCTAGACTACAGAGACCCTATCTCAAAAAAACAAATAAAAAGAACATAAAATAATTGCATATTAAGACCTGTACAGGATATTTATTTAAACAATAAGAAAACATATCTAGGGCAACATTTTTATTTGGTTTCATAAACTCTCATCTTTGCAACAACAGGAATGTTTGAGGTTTTGATAAATCCCAGATGGTAGCTTGTTTTTCTTTCTTTATCACCTGCCCTTGGCCCACAGAGGGATAGGGCCCTCAGAAGCAGGGAGCAGGGAGAGTTAAAAGCAACAAACTGTTTTGTGATCACTGAAAAAATTTAACAGTGCAAGGAAGCCAAAGTGTTCCACAGTGAAATATAGTCTTCAGACAGCTTGGTTTATAAACTATGTAAACTATTTTTCTGGAAATTTGTGTTCTTATTGTGAATATTTTTCTTTGCACAGGGAAATTCTAAAAAGAACAAGAGTCGATAGTTTACAAATAGCTGCTTGGTGACTGTCCCTTCCAGAACTACCACTGCTGCACAGAGCTGCCGGGCCGAGACTCCACGTCCAGTGCTGGCAGCCTTCAGAAGCTGAAGTGTTGCTGGACCCAGGAAACTAGTCAGTGTTGTCAATGGCTTTGAGACACTTCAGATATATTTGTAACCAGTAAGGCAAATTCAGAATTTGATGTTGACAGTAAATGGAAAACAATGCACAAACTGTGGATATTGTAGGGTTCCTTATGCTGTTTTTACTGTGCACTTTTTAAAATTAGGTTTTAATCTCAGTATGTAAGAACAACACATATTTTGTATATTTTCAAACTATATGGTAATCGATTTGGTATCTATAGAATAGATATATGTTTATGGATAAAATGCATAAATTGTCAAACTGTCATTACTTCTTATGATAATTAAAAGCAGTCTATAGATTCTTTTTTAAAGATTTATTCATATTCTCTCTCTTTTTCCCCCTTCCTTTTTCCCTTCTCTCCCTTTCACTCTAGCTCTTCCTCTCCCTGTCACATAGCCTCTCTTCCTTTCTCTCTCTTCCTCCTTTTTTCCCTTTTGCTCTCTGTCTTGCTCTAACTCTCATTCTCCCTGTCACCCCTTTCCTCCTTCCCTCTTTCTCCCTCTCTCTCTGGGAGTGAGACTTGCAGACATTAGATCCTGTGGGTTTATTATCATTGTCTTCAGATCCTCAGTACCCCGTCTCTGTGCTACAATAATAGCTAAATGAAATTTATGTCAATAAATTCGTACTTATATCAAACTTTCAGTCTCTATGAAAAATCTGATAAGGGGAACTAAAACCTATTAAAGAAGGCTTTATAAAATTTATCAAGTTCCCAATTACATATAATCTTTCTAATTTCCCAAATTAGAATAATTGCAGTTAGTCTTTATGAGACTTTTGAGTTTTGCCTTCAGAGCTGCTTAATACTTTAGGCAAGGAACATAAACCCTTTCAAGCTCCTTCATTATCTGAGAAACGTGTCATTTCAGAGCAATCCTCAGGTATCTCTCCCAGAACCTGGACTCCTTTCTCAGTTGTTTGCACAGGCCCATTTCACTATCTCCTATGTCCAAATTCCAGATTAGCTGAGGAGTTCCCAAAAGCCCTTCCTCCCCACCTCCCTGCCTGTAGTTCCAGCTCCCTTAAGGCTCTGTCTAGACAGTTGCTAGTCACCCTCCACAATGCTTTTTCATTTGAGAGTCCATCATCAGCTCCCTCTGTGCTCAGCAGAAAGGCTGACTGGCCTCTGCTCTTAGTTCTCAGCAACCTGCTGTAGAGAGGGACTCTGGTTGTTACACCTGTCCTCATGACCCTGACATTCTTCCCTGCCCTTTGAGTTATCCCCTTGACCGTTCTCTTTTCTGTGTCCTGCTCATTCATTTCCAGTTCTCTCTCAACTGAGCTGCACCAGCAGTTCCCCTGCAACTAAACTTTTCTCACCACCCCTGTGCCTAGGTCCCCAAACAATGAGGGAAACAGAATCATGCTGAGCAGCCCCATCATAAGCTCAGGTCCTCAGCTCTCCCAGGCTTACATTATTTGTGACAGTCCTTTGGCATATCTAATTCCTTTCTATTCCCAGTGTCAATAATGGATACGCCATGCCTCATTCCTGGGTTCTGCACCATCCACACATAGCATGTCAGCAGTGAGTATATCTCTGCTGCCACTTGTTCATCATTTACCCATCCTGACTGCTGCCTCCTGCCTCAGAGGCAGAGGGAGGGGCTCCTGCTCCCATGAAGCTAGCCTGTTTCCCCTGCTGTTAGGGTTACTCTTTGTCTACGGCTTGGCTTTTCACACTTACATCTTTAATTTCTCATTCTGCTGTCTCTTCCTCCAGTTTCACAACAAATTGAACTTACCCCATTCTTTTTTTTTTTTGGTGATAGTACTGGGGTTTGAACTCAGGGTCTCACACTTGCTAGGCAGGCCTCTACCACTTGAGCCATGTCTCCAGTCCTTATCCCACCTTTAAAAAGTTTAGAGTGTAGAATTAGAAGCCAAACTCCCTGGATTTGAATCTCTTTCCTTACAAATGAGTTACTTAGCATTCCTGTGCCTCAACTTCATATTTGTAAAATGGGGCTATTAATAATATCCACCTCCTGGGAATTTTATGAAGATTAAATGAGTTATATTATAGCTTCCCATGAAGAATACATGGTAGATGGAAAGGATATTTATTGCTAATAAATGTTTCTAGTAACATTATTGACACTGACAGTTGTTATTTCTCTTTCTACTCCCTTTGTCTATGTTCTTTCCTTTCATTACTTGTGGAAGAGCAGTCTGTTTGATATCTTTCTATCATCACCATGACCCATTTGCTCCTTAACTGGCCTGCCCAGCTCCTTTGCCCACCATCATACCAGAGCTGGTCTCATGAGCATTGCAAGTGTCTGCCTAATTGTCAAGACCAGTGGCTTCTTTTCATCTGTGCTCTTGCCTAAGGTCTCTGTGATGTGGAACATTGTTACCCACATTCCTCTTTTTGAGATCTGCTCTTGGTCTTTCTAACGCTTCCTTCTCTTACATTCTTGTTTTCCCTTCTTGTGAAAATTCCTTCTCAGTCTCTTTTCTGGCTCCCCTTCATTTGTCTTTCCTTTAAATGTTAGTCTTCTCCAGGGTTCTATACAAACTTCTCTCAGTCATTCTGCACTGATAGATGTCAAAGCTCATCTTTCTAGCTTTGACCTCTTTTGAGCTGCATCCTGAGCTCTGTTGCCTTAAGAACCTTCTATCAGATGTCCCATGGGCAGCTCACAATTAAGTGTGAAATTCACTCACATTTTCCCCATTTTCTCTAGCCTTTTTGCCATCCCCCAGACCTGTTTGTTACTTTATATTTATTCAGATATTTATTGAGTACTTATTATATACTAGACACTATCCCAAATGCTGGATAAAAAAAATAGACAAAAATCCCTGCCCTCACTGGGTTTAGTGTGGGGAAAAAAACAAAGATAAAATATGTAATGTGTTACAAGGTTTTAAGTGCTAAGGAGAAAAAAATAAAGCCAGGGAGGGGAATAAGGACTTGATGGGCCATTGCTTTTTCAGATACCGAGACCAGAAAAAGACCAACAGAGATGTGACAAGTGAGTAAAGATGTGAAGAAGATGAGACATCACTCATGGACATCTGTCCCTGGAGTCTGAAACAGCCAGGGGGTTGGTGCACTTGGAGTGGAGTGAGCTAGGCGAGTACTGGCAAGTGAAATCAGATAGGGGACAGATAACTGTAACCCAAGGGTCTTGGTAGGCTTTGGCCTTGACTGTTTTGAGTGTTAATGATATGCATGTGGAGGGTTAGTGACAGAGGAGTGGTATTACCTGACTTATGTTTTAGTAGAATTATTAAAATTCTATGAACAGTTCTCTGTTGGGAGTAGATTATAGGGAAGCAGGGTGAAAAGAAGCAGTTAGTGGGCTACTGTACTAACCAGGAAGCTATTCAGAGATGACATGGTGCAGTGGAAGTTGTGTGAAGTGTAGTTTTGGATTTATTTTGAAGATTAAATTGATGGGATCTTTGCTGAAATATTTACCTACAATTACAACTCCTTCCTGCTATACTTCTATCACTTGTCTCTTTATTCTACTCCTTACTTATCAAATATATGACATATTTGTTTATTTATCTACATGTGAAGATACGTCTCCATGATGACAGGTGCTTTTGTCTGGCTTATTTACTGCTGCACTCCCTGGTCCCAGAACACTGCCTGGCAATTAGTGAGTGAATGTTTGTTGAGGGAATGTTGATTGTGGGTTGTGAGAGAAAAAGAGAAGTCCAAGATAAATCTAAGGACTTCAGCCTGAATGAGCTTGACTGAGAAAGAGGACTGAGGGAGAAGCAACCAGCTTCTTGTAACTTAGGCAGGAGAACTTGGAATCTCCTTACCTCGAACATCTTATTGGTTATCTTGACTTATTGAACATTCCTGCCTTTGCAGTCTCTCTCACTTTGAAACTCTTTTCTCAATACCTTAAATTGATTGCTGGCCAGATCTATTGTCTGAACTATTCCTCTTGCTGTTCTCTAGTCCTCCCACTCCTGCCAGGTCATGTTGCTAAAACATATCTCTGCATAGCCATTTTCCTGATGGATAGCCTTCAGAATGGGTCCTCCTCATTCCTGGGCAATCTTCTGGTACTGTGCAGCTGTGAGATGTGCACAGTCATCCTTAACTCTCTTCCTCTGTGTTCTCTTCCACCCTCCATCTTTAAGAAATCTCTCAGGCCTCTGAGTCAGATGTGAAACTTCTCTTGAACAGTGAGCCTGCTTTTCTCTTAGAACTTTGTGAATCTTGGGATTGCTTTCCTGTTTGCTTTGGAGTTGGATCCCTGGCAAAATGGTACCTTTTTGACATTCCTGCTAAGATCTTTGCTCTTTTGGCAGAGTCCTTTCCCAAGGCCTTGACATGTACTGTTTTCCTTTAAGCCTCCTGACCATCACATCTCATAATACCATTCTAAGACTGTTCCAGTCTTACAGATAGAAACAAAGGTGTAGAGGAGCTAGGATTCAGATATAGGCTATTTTGCCTCTCGAGCTTCGGTTTTTCACTATTGTAACATGAGACTTTCAAATTGGGACTTTTATACTCCTTCAGGAACTATGTATCTGGAGGATAAAATATTAATTTCTCCAGTCCTTCATTCAACTTCCCCTTTCCACATCTTTATTAAATGCATAACTACAAACTGTTATGTCTTGTCCATCTTTTCCTGGGATTGTCTCAGGCCAGTAAGCAAAGAGAGTGTATGGAAACTTTTTTTTTTTCTCCAAATGTCTTTATCAAAGCTATGAACTTAGTTTGAGTTAACTGTTATTCTAAAATACTATCAAGAAGAAGACAAAACAAAACAAATCTTCTCATTTCATGCCCTCCAGAGAAAACCAATTTCACTCACTATTTTTCCAATCAGGTTTTAGTCTGCTTCCTGGGCTAAAGGCTCTATCTAGTACAAACCTGGTAAAGTTTGTCTTTAACATGATTTTTTTTTTCTCCTTTGACCCTTTATTTTTACATACGTATTCCCTGTTACACAAAATTTGCCAATAACCAGATGAGTTTAATATATTTATCCCACTATGCTACCCCTTCCTTCTAGTCTTCTTTCTGCACAAACTCTATTGTCATCACTATTTTTTATGGGAATTTTCTAACTACACACATGGAGAGATTAGTATAAGCCCTACCACTTGTTACGAACGTTTTGTCGATTTTGTTCCTCTTTTTTCCCCACACTTCTTTTTTTCCTGGAGTATTTTAAGGTAATTCCCAGACATTGAGTTATTCCACCTGAATACTCGAGTTCTGCATGCCTTCGAGAAGGTAGTCTGCGCCGATTTCTAAACCTGTCTTACTTTACATCAGCATTCGGTTACAGGTATGTGTGGAGTACCTGCAGTGTGCTCAGTGCTAAGTACTCTGAGGAGCAAACAGACATGCCCACTTCCCTCGAGAGCCGACAACCCACAAAGTGAGGCCAAGAAGTGATCGCATAAATGTGTAACTACAAACTTACTTCTTGTTCATCTTTCCCTGGGATTGTTTCAAGCTGGTAAGCAAGAGATAGTACATGGACACTCTTTTTCCCCAAATGTCTTTATCAAAGCTATGAACTTAAGTTTGAGTTGTTATTTCTTATTGAGAAAACAAAACAAGGCAAAAAAAGAAAACAAATCTTCCTCTCATTTCATGCCCTCCAGAGAAAATCCCTTTTACTCACTGTTTTGATATACCTATATTTCCAAATAGCACACTGCTTTTCTGTTTTATCCTCCTTTCTGTTCTCGCCCCACATACAGACAGATACTTGTTTTTAAAGTAGTTTTACAAACATTTTGACTAGGTTGATATTTGGTATATCCTTCATTACAATTATACTTCAGGAAGACTCTTCAAATACTAGTGCTAGCTGAGTTACATAATGTTCTGTGATCACTTTTCTGTGCAACTCTTTGTATTCCTGGAGTTAACAATTTTCTTTAAAAAAAATACTATGTTTTCTGTGGTACTTATTACTAATTTATTCCTAAATTCTCTCCATGTATATAACTCTCCTTTCAATGTGGTCAGATTCAGTTGGATGTTCAGCCAACTTCATTTTCAAGAAACCTCAAGCCAGGTGTGGTGGTGCACACTTGTTATCCCAGCTAGTAGGGAGGCTGAGGAAGGAGGGTCGTTTGAGCTCAAGATTTAGAGGCCAGCCTGGGCAACATAGACCCCATTTAAAAAAAAAAAAAAAAATCTCTCCCGTAGCCTTCCAAACCTGCTCCAGGTGGCTTGGTTTATATCAGCACTATTGCTGTCTATGACCTCCCTCTACATCTTCGGCGTCACCCCTTAAAATAACCCTCTTTCCACCCAGGAGCCCTTCCATGACTGCCTTAACCCACAGCTTGCCTTTTAGCCCCTTCCTCAAAAACGATCTCTCTCTCCTGTCAAGGCCTCTCGTGGCATGCAAAGTGAAAAATGAGAGGAAATTCTCAGTCTAGGTACAAAGTCAAGACTCTGAGACTTGGCAAGTCTGAGGTCCACATAGAGTGGAAGCCAGGAACAAAAAAGGTCCTGTAATTAATCATGCATTACTTTCTGGAGATGACGGGATTTTCGGAATGTATTTCAGTGACATTCCTTACTTTTTCCTCAGTATACATTATGTGCTTATTGTTGAAAACTTGGAAAATGAGAAGAGGTATCAAGAGCACACACTTTTTAGAGATTCAATACTAATGCTTTTATTTATTTTTGTTCTAATTTCATGCATATATAAAATATGTTTCACAGTGAGCGTGAATATAAACCTGCAGACATAGTTTGAGAAATGCATAAATAATAGGATTCTTGTCACATCATTTGTCAACACCATCTTCCATTAAATTGTTACATGAAGTCCAACTCACTTTTTTTTTTTTTCCTGCCTTGCATGGGCTAGGCATGCACACCTCCATGGAACTAACTACATCTCCACTTTTCAAAGGTGGTTAACTTGATTCTCCATGCTTTTGGAAAGATGGTAAGAAACTATCAGTTAAACCAACAGACTTTGTAACAACATGACCACTTTCAGGTTCATTATCTATTAAAGAAAATCCCTCAGCTTCAACATTTGCAAACAAAAGTGTGAAAAAGAAAAACTTAAATGAGGAACCAATTAAGTTAGGAAAGCCACTAAGTGAGTTGGAACCAAAGACTCTTTCCAAATGACTGAAAGCTTTCTTCATAGTAAAAATCCCCAAACAGAAAAATTTATAGTTTTGTTTCATACAGCATTAACCCTGGAAGTTCTTCCCAGATCTTAAGCTTCAAACTCCCCCCATAACTAACATCTGAAGATAACAACATAGTTGGTTGATGATGGGTAAGAAAACATCCAAGTGCCACATTAAGGAGGCATAGTTTGTTCTGTGTTTGAAGAGGAAATTTCTGTTCTTGGCTGAGAGCCATGTCCTCAGATACCACAGTGATAAATGGAAAGCTTGTCAGTAAATAGATGTCTCTTTGCCTTAAATTTTTAAGCAGTTTAGTAATTAGCTCCAAATTAGGAAGCTAACTGGCAATCAAAGCAGGAAAACCCATTATAGTTCTTCCAAATTGTTAAAAGGCTAGAGAGAGCATTAGAACAACTTTCCTAAGGAGAGGATTAGAAGAATTGACTCTAGGTGGAAACAGGCTGGAGGCTGTTCTGTTTGCAATTGTAGGAGCCTCAAGAGGTACCTCCCCCTTTAGAACTTTACTGTTTGTTTTACCAGGGGCTAACTATCCCTGAATTCAACCCACTGCTCTTCTAAACACCAGGGAGTGTGGAATAGACCAGTGGGGACATCTTCTAGGCCCAAGAATACAAACAGCGCAGTTCAGTTAAGAACAAAATGTCAGTCACTTACATCCTGCTCATATACTGAAAAATATTTGAAATATCACCGTGGCTTTCCTGTATTTCTTTTTCTTTTTCGTTTTGGGAGACAGGGTTTTGATATGTAGCCCAGGCGGCCTCAAACCTGAGATCCTGGTGCCTCAGCTTTCCAAGTGCTGGGGTTACAGGCTTGCATCACCATGCATGCCCAGCTTTCCCTGTGTTTCTTTAAGATATCTCTTTAATTGTATTAAACTGTAAAGTCTCGTGTAGTTACTTTCTTGTTTGTCATCTCCCTAAAGAGCTAAGATGCTATGAAGCAGTAAACAGGTCTTAGACTTAGGCCATTGGATCCCAGCAGAATGTCTTATACATGGTAGGTGTTAAATAAACACTAATTGAATGCATTTAGGAACTGGGCCAAGGGATCAACAATAGCTACAGGAAGTGCGGCTCAAGCCACACTCAAGAGTATCCCTTCTTTAGGATAAAGGATGGGCAGTCTTGAGCCATTCTGAACAGATTCAGTGATCATCCTCCTAAGTGGGGTTGATTCAACAGGCATTCCAGTGAAGATGTGGGCCTGATGTTCACCTCAGGAACGTCTCATCCAAAGTGTCTTTTAATTTTCTCCTAGAAAAGGTCATTCAGCAGTAGCTCGTTCTTCAAATGCCAGGTCAGAATGCATCATGTACTTGAAATAGTGATTTTCCCTGTTTGGTTTTAACAGTTGTTGAAGCCATCCACTGGGAAATATTTTTTGAATATAGTTTTCCAAAATGCCCTTAATCTATCTTGAATGAGTGGTGTAATACAGAGTCTTTGTTTTGTAAAGTTCCAGAGAAAAAGGTTCTCATCAATCATTTAGGACTAAGCCTGTCCCTCTTTTTGAAGTTACAGTAACTGACCCTGAACAACTTCGCTGACTTGAACTTTGAAGAATTCCAAGTTAATCTATTAGGTCTTATCGAGGACTTCTTGTTAAACTGCGGAAGTTCTAAATGTTTCCACAAAAAGGCTGTCAGGAAAGTGAAATCTGTTAATAAAAAGGAGAGTGGCATAGACTGAGGGTCTGCTTATTGTGGAGCAAGGAAAAGAACAGGAAGTGGAGTAAAATGAGGTCACAGCTGGTGATGAATGGTTGGGTGGCTTAGCTATTGAGGCCAGGCTCAGCTGTTTACACCACCATATTTTGATATAAAGGGACAGACATTGCCAGAAAGGATCCTTTGGAAATAGGTGCTAGAATTACAAGAAATTGCATTCATGCAAGTGACAACCTTTAGCACAACACTGAGTCACACAGAAGGGGAGGGCCAATCCTTTGCAAAAGATGAAACTTTTCAATCAAGTGTAGTTACTCTTTAGAAAATTATGGGCCTGTTTGCCAAAGTGTTAAGGTTTCCAGAAGAGATTTCTTTCACCTGGTGTGCTACCCACTAATCATGGCCATACTGCTTATTTCAAATATGACAAAATTAAAAAGGGCACTCAGAACTTTACTTTAGTACAGTGATAATGACTGTTTTCCAAGTGTGCTGTTGTTTTCTGTGTGAGTCCTCTCTCCAATTAGCTGTGGTGTTTTTGAGACGGGCTGGCCTCCTTGAAAGGTCCTATGGTGAAGGGTAGGCTGGACACAAGATAGGAGGTTCAATTTGGGGATGGGAGTTGGGGTTAATGCATAGAGACAACGAAGAGTGGCTGCCTCTTTTTTACTTCCCTCCCTCCACCTTCCGCCTCCCCCTCTGACCTTGTTCTTCTTCAAGTCCCCACCAGAAGGCTAACTCACTCTGGATAGGTACCTACCTGGTTATGTAGAAGAATATGGAAGGTTACCAGCCAGTTGACTTCCTATTTTCTAGGCTCTCCTTGCTCCTCCTCAACTCTTGGCCATCACTGGGAAGGTAGCAGAGGAAATGGGGAGATAAGGAGGACCAGTTCCCCTTTTAAAGTTTAAGCATAAACATAACTGTCAATCTTATCTGAGAAGAAAAAGTATCTTAAATAGGTCCCAGGCGTGTGAATTGTGGCAGAATCCCCCCACTTTCTTTCCATCATCCAGCATAGCACTTCAAGTTGAGTGCTGAATCCACGAGGATTTACTGGGTGCCCACTGTATGTCAGCCTCGGGGAATACAAAAGCGAGTTGGATACCTCTTGTATCAGCTTATTCTTTTGCTTAAAAACTTTCAAGGTTTTCCTCACGTTTCCCACCTACCCTAAACTTTCCAGGATAGCCAGCCCCCAAAACACCCACAGGGCCTGGAATGCCCTTTTCTCTCCCTGGAGTTTCCCATCATGGGATTTGGTATCCATCCAAGAAAGGGGCAGGCGCTCCCTCTTTTCATTCTGACTGGTCCCCAGAGAGCCCCACCTGAGCAACAGGTCGGGAACTGCCCCGAGTCGACTGCCAACAGGCGATGGTGTAGGGGTTAGAAGCCATCCAAAATCCTCACCTGGGTGAACACCTCCCCCACCTCCTGTCTACCGCACTTCCCAGGCCGCACTGGAGGCTGCATCCTCACAGCTCGGCCCTTTACTGGTCTGACTACCTGTGTTATCAACCGCCTGCCCAGGAAGGGGGAGTTCTAGCTTTACCTTTCATCTCACCCTGCGAACTGGGCTGGTCCCACCTGGAGGGAAAAGAGGAGACGCTACTGAAGCATTTAGTTCACACACTTTTGCAGGAGGGGGCATAGTCTCCTCTTGTGTGCCAGGGGCTCAGGGGATGCAAGATGCGCGCGCGTGGAGGGGGTAGCGAATGGGGCATCGCACAGTAGAAAAACTGGGGGACCCAGGGCGGGAAAGGAAGAGCGAGGAGAGAAGGGAGGATGGAGCTGGGGACGCAGGAACGGGGCGGGGACGGGAGGAGGCCCTGCGCCGTGGCCGCCCCCTCCCCTCCCCCTCCTCTTCTTCCTCCCCTTCGTCCTCCTCCTCCCAGTGTGGATGGCGGCGCCTAGAGTCGGAGCCCTAGCTGTGTTGCCCGTGAGTGATCAGCCCCAGGGGACAGACAGGGAGGCTTAGGGACCCTTCTCCAGGGTGGGGGCACCTCTAGCTGAGAGTTTGCAGGGCGGGAGACGCTGGCTGATCCTGGGACTCGGGCATCTTCGGGGCTCGCTCTGCGCGCCTCTGTGTTGCGCCGAGGTTTCCCCTGCACCCCCGCTCGCGGCTCCAGAGGCGACCCAGGACCCGCGAGGGGGTGAGCGGCGACCAGACTTTCCCTCCTCACCTCTGTCCCGGGGTTGCTGCTGCAACCAACTCTAAAGAAAGAAAGCCAGACTTAGTAACGTGCGCGGGGGGTGCGGGGGAGGTGGTGGTGGGGCTCGAAACCCGCGCGCCCACCCCGGGGCCCCCAGACTGGCACCGGGCCCTGGTCTGGAGCCCTCCCTGGGGGACTCTGATCCTCACCTCCAGGATCCTAGCTTTCGACCTGGCTCCTGTTCTTTGCGCTGCCCTTCTCTTCCCGCCCCCGCTTCCCCCCGCCACGCCTTACCGGGAAGCGAGTGTCCCCCAGGTTCCATCTCCAGTCTGTTGTCCCCTCTGCCAAGGGGCTCCCCTCCAAGACGGGGAACCAGGCCAAGGGGCCACAGCCGCAGGCACCGCCACACTTGTCCACATATTTCCTGCAGGAATGACATGGGTTGGGATTTGGCATTTGAACCTTGAGGATGCAGCGGGATATTAAAATATATTCCTCCTCAGGACTTTACTATTGTTGGTTTGACCCCCTCCCACCACCTTTTTTTTAAACCTGCAAGCAGTGCTTCCTTTCAATAACAACGACATTTCATGTAATTGGCATTTCTAATTCTGAGAGAAACAAATGGGAAACAATAAAAAGAAGGGGGACTAGAATGCTTGCCTAAAAAGTACTGTACTGAACCTGACCTTGGGAAAGTATACTTGAGCCCATCCGAAACTGTTTTGCTAGGAGAAAGAAGTTGGCTGTAGCTTGTTTTTAGGCTACTGCAAACAAGCTTTTTCAGCCTCCCGGGCTAAAAGTTTTGATCTGCCAGACACTCACTGGCAGGGCAGCACATTCCCAGCCTGGCCTGGCCTGCCCTGCCCTGCCTGTTTGCAGGTCTCCCCCACTCCATCTTGTTCTCCCACCTTACTCCCCCTCCATCCCCCCCTTCTCATAAATAGGAATTGTGTGAGTTGTGCAAACAAGGCAGTGGAAGAGGCTAAAGTGAGCAGGACCAAAAAGAGAAAACAGCCTCTCTTATTTTAAGCCTGAGGCTGTGGCTTCAACTGAACTCTGATTGGGTGGATGGAATGTTCGGTTCATTTGTGTGGTTTTATGTCAGTTCTTATTATGGTTGAATCAGTGTTTCCATGACAGAGTCCTTTCTCTTGGTGCTTAGAGGAAGCCTATTAATTCTCTTATGGGACTGGACAGATTGAGTCTGGAATCTGGAGGGTTTCTTTTTAGGGATCGATTTGGGTGATATTGCAAACCTGCCCACACAGAATCAGAAGCACTGGGAACAAGCAGCCTGAGCTGCATTCACTTCCCACATGACTTGGAAAGCTGTGGGGAGGTTGAACTTCTGTTGTTTGTAAGGACACACTTGTCAAGAATTTATCCCCCTTCCTATACAAACAATAAATGTGATTTTAAACTGGCTAAAACAGGTCAAGGTAGTGAGCCATTTGGAAAAACATTTTTTAAAAAATGAGTTTCACTAGAAATAAGAGTTTATTCTAAAAAGGATTTAATTCACTTCTGTCCATTACTCAGTTTGACAGCTTTGCATTAGTATGGATCAGTAAGTGTTTACTGTGGTCTCAAAGTGTCCTTGATAAGAAAATGTTATGACCTCATTCAGAAGGAAAGCCCATAAGTTTTGAACTTGTTTGGCCCCAGTTGCTTAGGAAAACAATGTAGTGTGATAAGAATCTTCAGTCTCTTCCTCTTCCTGAGAATTTTTAACTGTGCATCAGATGCCTGGAAGTCACCTTTAAATTGGAGAAAAACTTCTCTGTCTTGTTCAGCTCTTGCATCCCTTGGGGAAGGAATCTTGTTAAACTGGGCAGTTTGCTCAGGTAGTAGGCTGCTTTGGATGCTGGGGATGTCATGAAGGTCACCAAGGGGTCTCTGACCTAAGGAGCAAGTAGACTGGATGGTGAAGTAGACGCTACATCCCCAAATAGCCAGTAGAAAGTCTGCTGTTGGATGAGTAGGAAGTACCTGAAGTATGGGACCTACAGAGAAGGAGTAGGGCAGAAGTAAATAGCTCAAAGGAATTCCATGTGACCTTTAAACACCATGTTGTACAAGAATACTGAATTACATTGGTCTTGCTTAGGGTATGGGTGTGAATTTCGGAAGCAAATTCCAGATTAGAAAGCAATATAATTTTACTCTTTGAAAATACATCCAAAGTACTGGAATTACATGCATTGAAACAGATGATAGGATTATAGATGCTCTGAATTTTCTCTGTGCTTGCCTGTATTTCTCAACATTGTTTTACAATAATAATAGTTTACCTTGAGTATTTGGAGTGCTTGTGGGATTTCATTTAAATACCTTCCTTTATGGAGATTCCAAAACCAGGATCAGAGGGATTTCTTGCCCAAGGCCACACCATCACTAAGAGCAGGAATCAAATCTTGAATTCAGGGCAGTGGCCAAAGTGTATGTGTCTCAGTCAGCACTTCCCACTATCACTGCGAATGCATTATCAACATAATTGTCATTATTATTTTATTTTCATTAATTTTCCTTATTTTAGTTATAAGGGAAAAGTTGATAGAAAAGGGAAGGGAAATATTTCATCCCTTAAGAAGAACTAGTATTTTTCCAGGCATGGTCATGCATGTCTTTAATCTTAGCACTGAGAGTCAGGATTTTGACTCAGCCTGGGCTTCATGGTGAGAGCTTGTCTTAAAAAAACAAACAAAACCCTAATATTTTATTAACTATAAAATGCCTCTGGCTTCCCATCTCTCTCCTCTGCCACTGTCACTTCTCTTTGGAAGTCTTTGTGACTTTACTCCAGACTAAGTCAGAGACAGCTCACCTTTCTTTGGAAACCAGCTCTAGCCATGAGAAGTGTCCAGAATTCCATGGAGGCTCAGTAGGCAGTCTGGACTTCCAGGAGCCCCATGGGATTATGGAGCAGTCCCAGTACAAGGCAAGATTTTAAAAGTAGATCAGGCAAATTATGCCTTCAGAGCTCTGCCAATATAGGCTATTACTGTCTTTCTCACTCAGGTGAGTGTGACGGGTAGAAAGACTGAGGAAGCGCCCAGGGTCCCTTCTACCTGCATGCTACATGGAATGTCAGGGTAGGTCAAGGATTTACCACAGAGCAAGAAAGGGAAGAAGTTTCCTGATGCTTATTACTATGAAAACACAATAACAAAGTACAATTTTTTGGTGGGGGGAGCCTGGCTCTGTGGGTGACCCCGTATATTGGCAAGATTGGCTGATTTAGAGGAGATAGAACTATTCAGTGTAATTCTGGGGATAGTTCTGGGAAGAAATGCCGGAATCCTATAGTACTGCGCCCTCCAGGGCAGTCAGGCCCTGGAGATCACTTACCTGTTCTGTTTGTGGAATCTACCTAAAGTTCCCCACAAGGATTAGCTTTCCTAAAACACCAGGTCAGTCTCCTTAAGAGGAAGCTTTGTCTCTGCTTTTCTCAAGCAAGGGATTTCTGGAAGGCTGAGGGTTCTAAATGATACTCACCTGCTTGCCAGAGGGGGGGAAATTTGTAAGATAAAGGTCAAGGATCTCTTTCCAAATTATTATACTCACTGTCTCTGATCTTGGTTCATTTAACCATAGGAGAAACTTCTAACTTCTTTCTGGTCTGAGTGGTAAGAATAACCCTGTGAGCAACTTGTCTATTCTGTTTTATGGATGCTGTGAATCTGCATTAACTGGTAGTGTTTTTTTTTTTTTTCCTCCCTCATTTGGCCAAACAAGCTCAGAGCCAATTTAGCAGCCCACTTTGGGTGTACGTGTATTTGTGTGTGTTATATGTATATTTTATGGCCTTTGTTTAATTTTATTTATTTAATTATTTATTTTCAGTACTGGGGATTAAACCCAGGCCCTGCATATTCTAGGCAAGAGCTCTACCACTTGAGCCACACCTCCAGTCCTTTTGTTTGTATTTTTCTTTTCTTCTTTTTGGCGGCCACTAGGGTTTGAACTCAGGGCTTCATGCTTGCTAGGCAGGTGCTGTTACTACTTGAGTCACTCCACCAGCCCTTTTTTTTTGTTTTAGGATTTTTTTGAGTTAGGGTCTTTAATCTATTTCCCTGGGGCTGGCATCGAACCACGATCCTCCAGATCTCTGCCTCCTGAGTAGCTAGGATTACAGGCGTGAGCCACTGGCACCCAGTTGTATTTTTCATTTTTGAGGAAAAGTCTTGGGGCTTCAGGCTTGCTAAGCAGGCACTGTACTACTTAAGTCACTCTACAAGCCCTCATTTTTGAGACAAAGTCTTGTTAATTTTGCCTGGGGGGCTCATACTTGCAGTCGCCTGCCTCTGCCTCCTGAGTAGCTCCGATTAAAGGTTGTACACCACCATGCCTAGCTATGGCCTTTTATTTTTGACAATGAATGACATACACCTTGTATTTCTTATGTATTCTTGCTTGTGGTCCCATTTGCCTCATCTGTCTTATATTGCACTATTTATTCAGTGCATTTTGGGGGTTGTCACTTCTGACACCCTACTCCTTTCTTCTGTTTTTCTTAATGTCAGTGTAAATATAGAAGTTCTTTTATGCAGGGTCTTTGGTAAATAAGTATATTTGTTCCTGAAGATGTCTTTACTTTGCTCGTACTCAGAAATGACAGTTTGGCTTTGTGTAGAATTTTAAACAAAATTATTTCCCCTTAGTACTTGGAAGACAACTTGTGCTGTTGTCTTCCCATGTTTATTGCTACTACTGAGAAGTCTGATGACAAATGATTCTCATTTCATTATAAAATAATTTGTCTTCTCCCTGGTAGCTTTCAGGGTTTGTCTAAAGTATTCTACCAGTACATCTAGGTGTGGACTTAGAAAATTTTACCTTACCCAGCAGTCAGTGAGCATTTGATATTTCCTGGCTGAGTGACCTTGGGCACTTCTCTCAGTTTCCCCATATCTAAAATAGAAATAATAATGACATCTACTTCAAGGATAGTTGTGGGAGATAATGCATGAAAATGGCAGAATAATCCCTGCTATATAAGGAAGCACAAATAATTGCTAGGTATTGTTATTACTATTTTATTTTTAAAGGATT